AACTGCAAATTTTGATAGTACATGGAAGGTAAGGTAACATAAATAAGAAGAAAAGGATTACCCAAGTCAGGTTTAAGCTTTTCATAATAGTTTTTTTTTCTACCTGCTGTAGTCCATTGTCATGTAGTTTGTGAGAATGATAATTATGTATTACAATTAGATTATTGTCCACGAAATATAAGAAAATAGGTACATTCCAAGGAATTTTTAATAGAAATAATAAACAGTGTAACACCGTAAATAGTTTAGAGAAATTTAGAATTTCGAGATAAAATATTTCTGTAAAATATACGTTGCAGATATTTAACAAGTCTAAAGAGATGTTTAATTATAACTATGATGCATTTTCGCATCAACAAGATCGATTGAGGGATGATTGAAAAATAATTTTTATTTTAGATCAGTCATATTTGTTAAACAAATATTTTGAACAAAGGACCTAAAAACATTAAAAGAAAGCATATCATGAGTGACCATGTTTGCTATGATGCTGCAGTTTATTACTAAAGCAACTTAATTAAATATATATATACTTAATTAAGTTGCTTATTTGATTAAGTTTTTTATTAGTTTAATTAAAATTTAATGATATATATCAGATTTCTATTAAATTTGAAATTGGTCCTTCTATTCTAGAAAAAAAAAGTGGTAATTAGGGTCGGTGTAGTTTCTTCACAATTTCTATTGGTTTCATAGTTCTATTGGTTGGTAGATTCAAATCAATAAAATCTACATTAGAAGTTGGTTTGAAGTATAATTGTTCTTAAAATTTGATTGATCCTAGAATTAATTATAAAATCATTTCTTTTAATGGATACTTATTAAAAAATGTTTAAAAAAGATGATGTTATAAATGTTTACCACCCAGCCGAACTATATGATTCCTGAAGTAAATGTAGCTAAAATATGTAAATGAGTACAATTTAAAGATTTTAAATGTGCAAATTTTGGTGTATAAAAAGTAGAATATTAAAAGTCCTCATGAAGGCATGTTGTCGATTACAATGTGAATTTTTTATTAGTGAAGAAACAATGTTAAAAAATCAAATTTTCATCATATATAAATTTTTTTTTCATTAATAAGTACAAGCAAATTACATACTATACTGAAATAAATTAAAATTAATTACGGTGCATAAAATTTAGGCAAAATTAAATTAATAAAATAACCCAAACTCAGTATGTTTTATATACATATGTGGATCTACATTGAAACCCTTGATAAATCACCTTAGATTTTGAAATGAAATCTCTTTTTTAATCGTAAATACGGTGAATTATGAATGTAACCTTTATTATAACTTTTTAAAATAATTTTCTCTTAAAGGGTCGTGGATCTGATGTTGGAAAATCATTGCTTTTACTAAAAGACTCTGTTTTGGAAGGGAGCAGCTACTGAGCATGATAGAAACTATTATTTTAGTTGGGTTGGAAATCCTTCAGCATCACTTACACAAATCTTTGCATTTGTTTGGTCAATTCTGTTGACAGAGACGGGAGAAAAAATTCTTAACATTTAATATATATTACAATGGTTCTGCCTAAAGTCCTCTCTATTGTTTTGTTTTTAATAATATGATTTGATATTAACTGTTGGACTGTTGACAATTCTTTGTGATTTAGGAACTCAGCATGGTTGAGTAGCTGTGCTCTTTTATTTTACTTGTATCTTCCATTTCAAGGAAAGAATCGAGAACAAAGAAGCACTGGCAGTGGTCAGTGCTAACTCCTTGTTAGAAGACTGGGTGATATTTTGGGTGCTTAATCTATTTTCCTCTAACACAGAGGCGGATCCAGGGCCTCAAGCTATATAAGAGTTATATAAATGATTTATCACAGATGAATTTTTAGTTTATATTAAAGATTACAATACAATTCAATTCTGAATATATAGCTTTAAGATGTAATTTAAAAGTTTTAATTGCATAGAGTGCTACCATTTACCTAATAGTTTTTAAAGTTTTCCCAACTACTCGCCCTAACCAAGAAAGTTCAACTATATTGTATCACCCAGTGCTCCTAAAGGTCTAGAGTCGTCATTGATAAGTAGAAATTTTAAGTTTAATTAAGATTAAACAATCCCCATACTAGTTACAGCATAAAAAAAAAAAAAAAGTCTGGCAAGTAAAGTCAGTATAGCTTCCTCGAAGTTTTCATCGGCTCTATGTTTCAAGGTATTTAATTTTTCGTATGAGAATAAAATCTCCAGGAGAAACCGTTTTCGTAAATATAGTAATCCCTCAACATTCGCAGGTTTTATATCCATGAATTTTGTTGATCAGCCAATATTAAAATGGGAAAGAATTCCACATTTCTAGATAGCGTATTCTATGATTCGTGATTTAAAAAAAAAATCTCAGTACATATTGAATATTCATATCAATTTTGTTGGTGCAAAAGGTGGTATGTACAAGTTAAGTGTTTACAGAAGAGCATAAAAACTCATTATTTCTTTATGATGTGGTATTATGATTTCATATTTTATTGTTCTCTGCTGTTTTCCATGGTAGTAGACTACCTATATCAAATGCAGACTTCAGCACAAAAAGAATAAAAATTATACATATGATTTTTGGCTCTAATGGTAGTGATATATACTTAATAGATATGTTTTCACTCGTAAAATGAATGGATCCAAAAATCCATTGGAAAAATTGTAACTTTTTGTTTGTTCGAAATAAACGAGATCAATGTTTTTCTTCAGTCTGAACAATACTTATTTAAGCCGAAATATTAAAATATGTGTGTGGTTCAAACACTTTGATGTTTAATGAGGAAATCGGGACCACAATGACCTGGCTAAACTTCAATAGAAATAAAGACAACCACAATTAAGACTTTTTTTTTACAAACTGAGTAAAAATTAATTCTAAATTTATTGAACATTACACGAAATCTAAGTAACGGCAGTAAGTGTCATGTAACGTTTGGAATCGACCAAACAATAAAGTATAAATTAAGTTTTTATATAAAACTTTATCAAAGTTTATAACCTCATAAAAATATTGTATTAACCTAATCCCCATTACACATGATCAATGCCTTCCACATTTCACATCCATTATATTGTTTACAGTTATTTATATTAATTTTAATTATTGTATGGAATTTAATGAAATTGATAGTATATACTATTCTATACTATTCTCCAAATTCCTCTAAGTTTGAATCAAATTGAATGACCCATTTTCAGACTATAGGCATGTCAAATAATACATTTACTGATCCGAAACCGGAAGTATTTTTTTGAGAGTAGTGGATAGAATGTGATAAATTTGGTATTCACTTAATCATCTGTTAACCAAACCCTAACTTCCCTCCACGTTTGTCGAATGTATGGTTTTAGAGAAACAGGCGTGTCAAGGAAAATACATTTTCACATATATCAGAGAAAGCAGTGGACAGAATTCAAGAAAATTGATATTACCTCATTTTTTCACCAATACCTATATTTTATACAACTTTAAGCCAAAACGAATGGGCCGTTTCTGAAATATCGGCATATCTATGAAAATACATTTACACTTGCGCAAGCGGAAGTGGTACATAGAAATTGATAAAATTGATATGGGACCATCTAAACGCCAACCCGACAATCCCAAATTTGATCCTTGATATCTGAAACGTAAAACGTGAGTGGAAATTTTTGATACTGAACACAAATTGTTTTTTCCTCTCACGAATACAATGCTTTCCTTCCTTCAATAGTGAGGAAGAAAAAATAAAAACAACTGAGGCACTGAACTCCAGATGAATCATATATTCAAACATAAAAAATAACATGAATCAAATTTATCTTTTTAAAAAAATAACTGAGAAAAATAAAATTACTAAGTAAGGACACTAAGTATGGCAATTATTTATAGAACATTAAAACAGAAAGTAGAGTAAATCAGTGTATCCTCAGTCTAACAAGGACCTCCTACAGTTTGATAACCATTACAAATAGAAATATAAAGCTTGGCAATGGTTTGAGCGAGACTTTTTCATAAACTAGGAGGAAAATAGATCAAATCAATGGGATAAAGTATCAATGGGGTCTCAGTTGTTTTTTTGTTTTGTTTTTTGTCTATGTGTTAACAACTGATGCCGTTCTTCCTCATAAAACTTTAGAGCTCATATTACCAGAGCCATTAGTAAACATAAGTATGTTGATAATATGAGAAATAGACTACTTATTTCCCATTAAGGTTGCAAACTCGTATGAGGGAAATAGATTTTGATGGTTTTAAGTTAAATTTAAGAATAAAAATGAATTTATTACTAAGCTAAGAATTATTGAACTTCAACTTAAAAGTATCTAGTTCCCACTAGTATCAGTTGGCTAATGAGAAATTTTACACAGAAACCACAATTTCCTTGAGATATGAATTCATGGAATATGACCACCAATATGTTTGTCTTTTTAAGATTAGTTACAAACAGTTATAAATTAATGTTTATTATGAAATTAAAATCATTAATTTACTAATTATTTCTAAAAATAGTAGTAATTTATATTATAGTAACTAAAATATTTTTTTCATTACGAAGTATGAAAAGACAGTTCCAGATACTGCATTAAAGTTGTTAACTTCTGCTAATTATAACACTCTTTATCATCAAGGTTTACCTGTTTATTTTATTAAGTCACATTTTAAATAATTAGGTTGTATAAGAATAATAAATTTGATGGAAGTTATAGGGAAATTTATTTTAAGTATATTATTTAAAAACTAGTTTGTTTAAAAAGAAATAATTTATGTTGTATAACATAGACGATAGGTTTCTCTTTTTTTTTTTTATAGGCATTTCTTTCATAAGTACTCACTTTTGAATATTTTTTTTTTAAATATAGCAAATACTTGAGTCTTTACCTAATCCCTTTTACAATTTCCTGACCCATTATCTTATTATCCTTGCTGGTAAAAAGTGTTTGACAACTTAAAAGTTGAAACAGTATGTCAATAAATAGTAAAAGTAATATTTCTTATATCTAAGAGTAAGGTTATATTATGTAGTGGAAGGTCGAAACAACCAGGGAGTTGCACATAAGCGGAGCCTACCCCAGGCAGTTTCTGCAATTCCTGACCTTCGTTCAGGATTAGACTCAAGATCTTCTTTTTCAGGTAGATTTCCTCACTGGCTCACCTTTCGCTGTTTTATGTATGTTTTAAGTTTTATCAATGAAATGATAAAAAATATGCATTAAATATTTTGGTTTTAAATCAATAATGTTCATTTAAATATTTTGTTGTTTATCCATTCAATCTAATATTTGACACATCATTGAAGTAGATATTTCAATAATTAAATAATATTGGAAAGTTTAATAAGCTTGGGTGAATGCCAATACCTGTTTGAATTTATTGTCTTCCTCTATGTGGAAATACATTCAAAGAGTTAAATTAAATGTTGAATTGCTTATAGATTTTCAAAATTTGTTTTGGTTATCAGCCAAGTGGTTGATATTGATAATTTATAGATCTAGAGTCTATTATTTCTAATAAATTATTTGTTAAAAAAATATTTTTAACGCAGTTCAAATTTGGAAATTCTTTTTTAAAACTAATATAGTCTATTGGTAATTGGAAAATTTGGTAACATTTATTAATCTTTTCAATTACGTTCTCATTTGATACCTATTGACCAAAATTATAATGTCTAAGAAAATACATATTCATTTTTGAGAAATGACTTTTATAAAGTAAACATGATGGAAAGAAAATGATGAATATGCTTGTTAGGTTTGGAAACTAAAATTAAACGAGGAATTTAAGATTTGCTCAGAAAAGACTTTTAAGTTATTGGGTGCAGAAAAGCTTCATTTTGTTGTCAATTTGGTTCAAGAGTTTTGTGAAAGATAGTATATATTTTTCTCTTATAAGACCAGATCGTCAAGCTGGTCTGACAAGTCATATTGTTTATTTTAGGTTGTGGAATTTTTCAATTAACTTTGATTAGTGTTACTGTCAATGGAAAGAATGGGCCAGAAGGGGTGTATTCTCTAGATGATGTTTTTAATAGATTGTTTTATGTAGATAGATAGCTGGTACCAATATGCTTGATCCTTGCTGTGTATTATGTTTTTGTTTCTGTGTTTAACTTGCACGATTTATTTGTGTGTTTTTGTTTTAAGGCATGTTATTTTGTTTAAAGTGTTTTTTTTGTCTATTATGCACTTCATGATAACCTTAATTTATATATACATGTTGCATGTTTTCAAATCTTATTTTATTTTTTGCCTGCCGTGCTTATTATATGTTTAAGATTTCCAAAGATTCAAGACAGCTTTGTGTGTTATTTTTTCAATCCGGTGCTATAATTTTGTTAGATTTTTTCAATTTTAATTATTTTTATGTTGTTATTAAATGGGTTTATCTACATAATACCATTTAGTATTAATGTACTGTTAAATTATATATTTTTATGAATTGAATAATTCTAGTGTATATTCCACGAGTTTTATTGATTTGTTATCTAATTTATGTGTATTTAAATTTTTTACATACATGCTTAATCTATTAATTACATTAAATGATGTAAACAACAAATTTTTTTATTGAATTTATCAAAACCAAATTTGTTGTCACATTCTACAAATTAAATATCCTTAATTGTCTAAAAAAAAACAAATATTATTGTGTGGGTTTGCGTGTGATTTTCTCAGATTATGGATAATGGATCAAAACTGCTTTTAAAATGACAATCAGCTTAAATATAATATTTAAAAAAAAAAAGATTTAGGGGTAAGAAAATATGTTCATGGGATAAAAGATAAATTGCATATACTTGGTCTCTGAATGTATAGAAAAAGATACATATTTTACCTAAAACCCCTACTCTATCCTACAGGAACTTATAATTAACCATCCAAACAAAAATATGTATACTTTTTTTTGTGGCTGATTGCATCATGGCCTTATTAGGCTTATTGTGTGTCATATTAAGCCTTTTTTATTTTAAATTTAAAATGTTTTATTTACAATTTTCACAAAATTATTTATTTTTATATTTTTTTAAAAACTAGATTAAGTATCTTAATTATATAAAAATATTATTGAAAAATATGCAAGTTGCAATGGCGATTCAGGAGCATTAAAATGACATAATGTACCATTTATGAGTGCAGTAATTACAGAGGATAGCACTCCTTCCTGTTGCCTGCAAGGCAATGATCAATATCCTGCTAAACTGTATATTTATGTATTAAAAAAATAGATCCGCAACAGAAGGAGTATACTAGACTAAAACCAGAAATCCTCCTAAAATAGTTGTTCAGCAAAATGTTGGAAAGTAAGGATGTGGATGCCTTATTTGTTGATTTCTAAGTAATTTTTTTGATTCCATGAAGAGAAACTGTCTTTAAAATACCATCACTGAACTGGTAGTTCCCAGAAAATTGGAGGGTCTAGTGAAGGCATTTACATGGTCGTAATTGTCAAGTCTTAATACTAAGAGAAGTATCTCAAGCCTAATAAGAGAAGCACAGCAAATTAACAAGTAATTAAAGATAAAACAAAATGTGTGATCATAAACTGAAAACTTCATCCAAACAACAGGATATACATTGATGAAAAATCATCCGTGAGAGCAAATAGATTAAAATACTTCGGCTTCCCAATAAGCTGAATAAATAACTAATGAACAGAAATAGACCAGCATATACCAAGTGTATATAACAGACCTTTCTTTTCCCTCTAAAAAGTATTTAGATCCCGAAAATCTGACAAAATATCAAATTAAGGGTTTACAATGCTATTAAAAAAAAAGTTGTAAACCATTTTACATTTTACTATTGAAACAAGGATAAAAGGAAAAATATCTGTGATTGTCATCATTCAAACAAGGATGGAGGGGAAAAGGCTGCTGCTCCTTCCTATAATACTTAAAATATTTTTCTTCATTTATAATGGGAAAAGAATAATAAGTTCGATAAATTCAACCCTATGGAGGAAAGAAATAAGATTAGAAACTAAAAAAAAGATATACCATTCCTTTGTAGAAAGCGTAGCCACTTACGGATCAGAAGTCTGAACACTGACAAAAAAGATGGAAAATAAGTTGATTTCCATGGAAATGGATTTCTGGAGAAGAAGCTGTGGCATATCCAGAATCGAGCGGATCCCAAACGCAGCAATTAGAGACAAGGTCGGATGTCAAAAGAACATCCTTCACCTGATCAGGACCAAACGGTTAAAGTGGTATGGCCACTTAATGCGGAAGGATGAGTACCGCTGGCCAAAGAAAATTTATAACTATATGCCACCTGAAAGAAGGAAGCGTGGAAGGCCAAAGAAGAAATGGATAGAGGACGTGGAGGAAAGCATATGGCAGCCAGAGGGCTTCGTGAAGGAGATTGGATGGACAGGGAGCAGTGGCTTTTGGGTGTTGGGGATATGACTCCTTAAGTTGTATAAAACCCAAATAAAAAAAAAAAATTTTTTTCTTCATCACCTAAATATATATATGATAACAATTATTATATTAAAACCATGTTATTAAATGACATACTATAAAAAGTATAACAATTATTTAATTTACTAAGCTTATCTCTAAAACTTGATTTTCTTAAAAACATTTTGGATTTTGGATGAAATTCTGTTTCTCCCATGAACTCATGCAACAGAAGTATGAAGAAATACAAAAAAGGTTAAACTTAACATTTTTGTTAAGTTTAATCATTACTGCTATGTGTAGTCTCCTTTACATGTGGTGCTTGTTTAATCTCATAAAACCTATTAAACCCAATATAATTTCACATTCAAAGTTTAGGTTAAATTTTTAAAGAGAGTAAATTCCTGTATATTTTTTAGTTCTCCAGGAATATTTCTAATGTGGATTGGCCCTCTTTTGCATTATCTCACCTTTTTAATGATCAAGGATATTTAATTTATATATGGCATGCAATTAGCAATCTCTTGTTAAAGTATCTTTAGTAATAATCATTGAATTAGCTGGTGCTACAGAACTTAAGACTGCTTTTATTCATAGTTGAAATAGTTGTTGAACTGTGTTCTAAGGACATTTTGTAAACAATATTTTCGTATCTAGTTGTTCTTTAGAAAATCTGTTTTTGAATTATATGTTTTAATTTAAACTAGTTTTTTATTGCAGGTTCTCCAATTCTTTCAAGCAGTGGTCTTAAAAAAGTTGGAAGTGTCCAAGTTGAAAATTCTTCTGATAACAAGTATGTTTGGAAATGGTTTTATGTTATAATCATAATTTATCTTGGTAATATTTTTAGTATATACCTACAATTTATAACAAAATACTATTCATTGATAAAATTATTTTCTTCTAAAGCTTTTATTTCAAACTCTGCAAATTTTTATTGTGAAGTTAACTGAAAAAATAAATTGATTAATTTATTGGAAAGGAGTGTGGAAAATAACACCTATCCCTTACAGGTTAAAATTAGAGAATAATGAGATATTATTTCAAGTAGAAATCAGTATGGTTAATAATTGCAAACATAGTTACAAATACCATGGGTTAATAGTTTTAACTTCATACATAAAATAGTTTTGAATTTTCAACTGTTCAAGTATCACCATTTATAATTGCTACTGTTATTGAAAAAGGTCGTATGTAACAATTTTCCATTCTTATTCTATTTGTGCTAAAGTTGACATTTTGTAGCCAGCTAATATTGAGCAGAGGAAAAAAGGAAAAAGTATGAAGTTGTTATACTAATAAATCACAAAAAAATCATTAGTTTCTATGCTTTCCTGTAAAACAACTCAATTTTCACAAACGATCTTTTGCACTAACAGTAGCCTAAGGACTATTACTTTTACAACGATATTTTTTCAATTTTTTTTCAGCCTCGACATTAACTGAAACCTTTATATGACATAACTACCCAATGAATTTATTAATTTGTTTTTCATTAATTTACTTAATTTTGAATTAACTTGCATTTAATTAAACTATTTATATTATTTTAAGGAATGTTAGCTATACTTACCAGTGTCTGTTTAGAGACCTTTTTGTTTGTGATTATTATCTGATAGTCAAATTAAAATATATCATAATCTCTGAAAAATTAAAAATCTATTGTCTAGAACGAGGATCGGCTGATACTGGTATTATTATCAGCATATTAATACATTTATTTTAAAATGTATTAATATATGGTCTAAAAGTATATTTTAAGTTACTAAGGAAAAAATATATTTTAATTGACAATCAAATTTAAGTACCGATTACGCTTCCTATAACAGTGGATCCAATCTATGTCTGGCCTATTATCATCACTAGTACGAATAGAGACCCCTCAACAGCCAAACAGCTAAAACCACCTAAACATATAAGAGACTTGACTAAGCCAAAACAATTAAAAAGCAACATCAGCAGACTAATTGAATTTTATTAGATGGACAGATTCTTAACAGATTCAACAAAAAGACTGATGGTCGGAGTACATGTACATGATTGTTCTATCAATGAGTTTGATTTGTTAAATTAATTTTTATAAACTCCAGTTTTGCCTCTTATATTGTTATGTTATTTTTTTTAGATTAGAAAATGGCAATGATGAGTTTGTGGTTCATCGTGGACGGGGAGTTACAACTTTGAGCTCTGTTATTAGTGGGGATGGTGGCAACAAATCTACTGAAGCTGCTGGCAAACCTACGAATTGGGAACCTAGAAAACCTTCTTATGCTGGAAGGCGATCTAGGAGGAATTCATTATCTGATGAATCACAGGTAAACAATAATATTAAATAATATGTTTATTTAAATTGGATAATGCATCAATCCATCCTCTCAATAATTCTTACAACATTAAGACAGACCATCATTTCATTACCAAAAAGATGATCCTAATTTGATGATCACTTTTATTCTGTGTTTGTAATTTATTCTTAAGGGACAATAGTCCCCGGATAATAAAATTATTTTCATTCATTCATTCAAAAAGATCTGTCCACCAGCTGCTAGGTGAGGGCATAATTAAAATTTTAAAATAAATACTGGATGTGTTGAAACATTTCTGCCCTAAACTGGATTCCTTCGTCAGCAAACAGACTAAAAACGAATCTGTAATTAATTGCTTAAGAGCTTAAATGATGAGGGTGAACTTAGTGGCCACCAGCCAGTCCAAGTCCAGCAAATAACATTTAAATTATAAATTTTAATCCTAAAATGTTTTTGGTTTATTATTTTCAAAAATGAACCATTGTGATCAACCAAAAAATTCAAAAACTTAACCCCCTCTCATAATTTGAGGTTTTACGTTTCAGGATACATAGAATTCAAAAAACGAATAAACAATTTTGTCTGTCCGCCGTCCGAGCATTTTCTCCGAAACTACTGGACCGATTTTTTTTCAAATTTGGATATAAAATCAGAGGTCTCCCGAGGATGATCCTCCATCGACATTACTATACTCCTTTTACTTTCAAAATGGGGACCAAAAACCTGCGTTGCTATAGACTAGCGCCTAAATGAATGTACCTATTTCAATGAAACTTTGCTAAAGTCATTTTCTCGACACTATTTAAATTTATCTATATAACATACTTCAACGAAAAAAAGTTACGAGGGATGGTAAAATTAAATTCTTAATAACTCAAAAATTATACACTTTTTTTGTTGACATTGTATATGGTTTTTTAAAAGTTTACAGAATTTCCGAAGAAAAAAAAATCGTTAAAATCCGTCAATTAGGAGCTAAGATATGGTCTCAGTTTTTGTTTTTTTTTATATGTTCTGCTGCAAAGGTTATATCATTTGTTTTCGTTTTTTAATTTTGAATGTGTTACTGAAGTAATGCTAATTTTTTTAGCATATTTCTAATGATTAAAAAAAAAAGTTTAGTCCAATAATTGGAATCACCTTTTGTTTATTTTTCTTTGTAACTAGGAATGTAATGTTACTTTAGATGTGTAATTGTTTGGAAATAATAAACCACTGTGAAATAATTTGCAGCGTTATTTTTTTTGTAACTAGGAAGGTAATGTTACTTGTAAGGTAATGTATAATTGTTTGGAAATAATAAACCATTGTGAAATAATTTGCTGTGTTTTTTTTTCAATGAATTCGCAATTTTATTGATATGCATCATAAATAACAATTTTAATTCAATAATTTTTATTTTATTTTTTTCTATAATAGACATCTCTCCATAGAAAACAAAATTAAATTTCTTATAGGTTTCTGCTATTTAGAAATTTCACTGTATCTACATATAGTACTTTCTAAAATCTACTAGTATATGTAATATATGGTAAGTGAAAGTATTGTGATCTTGAACATTTTTTAATCTCAATTCTCGACGGAAATACACATTTTCAGGTCTCCTGAGTCCAAATAACCAAGTCCCGAAAAATGGTCTGTGTATTTGTATGTTAGCAGTCTAGCTCAAATAACCAAGTCCCGAAAAATGGTCTGTGTGTTTGTATGTTAGCAGTCTAGCTCAAATAACCAAGTCCCGAAAAATGGTCTGTGTGTTTGTATATTACCAGTCTAGCACAATGGACCCATTAGGGGTCGACGTGCTCAGGACCAACACTAATAAAAAAAAAATTTAAAAATGTTAGCTGTCTAGCTCAAAAACGAAAAGTCGTACAAAACTGATATTACGTATTTTAGATAGGTATATGCCTTAGATGTGACAGCAATTTTTTCCTTAAAATCGGCTAACCAGTAGTGCCACTTTATATCATCGGTGAAACACATTTTTACAATTTTCTCAAAAATGGCTCAAACGATTTTGATTAAAGTTGGTGTGTCATTGTATAATGAAGTGGTCTTTAATATCAATCAGGTCTTATTCCTATTGATGTCACTTGACAGGGATTAAATGCCCCATGTTCATATATGTCTTCTTCTAAATTACCTTTAATATGGTTTATTTTAAATAATTAATCATCTCACATTATTTAGAGTTTATTTATTTAGAGAATGCTAAATATAACATTTGAAAGAATTTGATAATTGAATAAAGGAGAAAGAAATAAAAATGCTTATCCAGGTCGAAAATGAATACTATTCAGAAGGTATAGGTATAATATATTATTGAAAAGTAGAGAATTTTAAGAAAAACAATATCTGATATAGAAAGTTGTAGAAGGTAACGGAGTGAGGCAAAAAAATTATAAATAATAATTTCAGAAAACAAACAACATTATTTAACGTAAATCACATGTTTCCAAGGAAATTAAATTTTCTTACTGTATATAAACTTTTAAATGTTTTTCTAAGATGGAAAAAAAAGTATTTAAAATCCACCTAATCAAGCCAATGCCATTGTTTAAAATACTATTTCATTGTATTTGTATGAAAGAAGAACTGAAATATACAAATATTTCATGAATATGTTTATAACATCAAATATATTTACTATAGAGTATTAATTCTAGATAAGATATTGTATTTAGAAAATTAAATTAGTGAATAATTTAATGAATTTTCTCTATGTGAAATCCCAACATTATCCACTTACAATTAGTGTGACAACTTTTGACCTATCCCCATGGCAAGGCAATGAAAATCTCGTAAAATTTTGTTTTAGTAAACTATACAATGAAAAATAACAGCTTAATAACAAATAGGCCTATGATCCATAATCATTTATAGGTTAAATATTCAAATATACTTTCAAACCTCTGTAGGCATATATGAGCCATTTGGTTGACAGATTGACTAACCCCAATTTCAACATTCTTTATTATTAATTTTAGTGATGTTTCTAGTGGAAAATTTTATTCACATTTCTATATTTCAACACTGCAATCACCTACTCTGGAATCAACTTACTCACTGTCTGTATAGATAACTTTTTTAAACTAGAAATATCACTAAAATGACATTACTCAAAAATGTTGAAATTGGAGTTGGTCATTCTGTCAACTTGAAAGGCTCAGAGACTGAAGTTATGTGGTTTATAAAAGCAGATGGAGTGACTTGATTTGTATTGCCTACCGTTGATATAGTAAATAGACTTTTTGTAATTATAATGGTCTTAAATAGACTTTTTGGAAGTATTTGTTATCTGTAAGATTTAAGCTTTAGCTCTGTTTAAAATGCATTTCAAAAATTTTATAATAGCCCAGCATTACCAGAAAATAATTTCTATTCAAAGTAAGTGAACGTTGTGTGTTGCGAGCACCAGATTTTTTTTTGTTGCAATTATATGTTTAAATAATATCATTGTATAAATATATTGAAAACTGTGCACAGATGTAATTTATAACAAATTTTAGGTATTATAATTATATTTTCAAAAGTGGAATTATTGTATTAAATATTGTTTACAAATATGTTTTTCTTAATTGATAGTCTAAAAAATGCTTATTATTCAAGAAGTTACCATCAGGTAAATTATAAAATTGTATATGTCTAAGAGGGCATGTTATACTATTTTACCTATGTGGGAGTGGGACAAGCTACAGTGTTATGTATGGATGTGTTTATTAGGTAGATCTACATGGCATTCTGGAATGCTCAACACATTCATGATTTTGGTTATAGATTATATGACTTCAAATTGATCAGTTTCTGGGAATTTCTAGCCAATGAATGAGTTTATAAATGTTATTAATATCAAGAATTGCACATAATATGATATTACTGATTATCTGCAATTAAATATTATTCCAAATAAGCAAGAATCTAATGAATATATTAATGTAGAACTGTGTTTCAGAATATTAAGATAGATATCTGTAGTTATTAGAAATCAGTTCTTAAGTAAGAAATTATCTTGTCTAATGTTAGGTTCTGATCCCTAAGAATTTTTTCTTCCCTTGAATTTAGCAGGTATTTCAACTAAAAATATCTGGTGTGTCCACTCACACAACTTTCCTACCTATTTCAGAAAAGTTTTTATATCTTTACATATGTTCATGAAGAAACAAAAAAGAATTGAACTAGATACATTTTCCTGAAAATTGATCAAACTTAAGATTTGAGTACGATTTGTTTGATAAACTAAAGCAATGTTAACCGGCTTAAGGTAGATCAGTATAAAAATTTCAATACTTCCTAATATTGCTGATCAAAAATTTTTTGCCATAGCTTAGTATTGTCAAACAATAATTTCTGTTAAAAGTAGAGGAAAAAGTGAAGATTGTGTGATGCGGGCAACAGATTTTCTTACTTTCACTTAGTCATCTTTATTCTCTCATTCACCCCTTTCTGATACCAGGATATGAAACTGTAATATTACATTGGAAATTGATTAGCTGTAACTTCGTTAATAGTTGTCCAAAATGAACGATTTTTATATGGCTTTGTAGGGAATTTCATTACCTTTCAAACTGCAGGCTAAACGGCATATTAACGGACTTAGAGTGCGCATTAACGGACTTAGAGGGCGCATTTATTGCATGCAAGCTATTGTGCATGGAGCACCGAATGTCTGTCACAGGCGTCAGTAATCAAAACCCTACAAAATAAAAAAACAAGTAACAAAATTGATTCTGTAGTTTCCGAGAAAATCTACCGGCTGAGAGACAGACAGACCAATGGCTACAAATGTGTTTTCTGAACTCAGGGGTTCTGAAACGTATAGATCCGTCAAAAACCGCATGTCGGAAATTTGATCAGATTGCAATACTTTCCTTACCTAACATAGGTAGGAAAGTAATAAGTTAAAAAATGTGTAAAAAATAGAATAAGCTGTATCATCGCTAATACTGGTTCGATTCTGATGATTTTTTTTTTTTTTTTTTTGTGATTTAATTACTTTTCAAAATGTTTTAATATATATTTTACCGTATAATATATACTTATGGAGTTAGGCCCCATAACATTTTTCTTTTCTTTATAACCTTTTTTTCGCGAATTTAGTCTATATACAAAAATTGAAAGAACAATGATTAGAACATTATAGGAAAGTTTCATCAAAATCGTTAGAGCCGTTTTTGCGCTACAGTTTATAGAAAAACATGTGCGCAAGCTATTGCGCATGGAGCACCGAATTTCTGTCACAGGCATCAGTAGTCAAAATCCTACAAAATAGAAAAAGAAGCAACAAAATCGGTTCAGTAGTTCCCGAGAAAATCTTGGCACAGACAAACAGACCAATGGCTAAAAATGTGTTTTCCGGACACAGAGGGCTCTGAAACGTATAGATCCATCAAAAACCGCATGTCTGATATTTGACCCGATTGTAATACTTTCCTTACCTAGTATAGGTAGGAAAGTAATAAAGCTAGTATATATGTGCATTTTTTTCTCTTTCTCAAAAGTTGCAAATTTATATTCACCAAATTCATCATGTAAAATTTTACTGCTGTTATTTTATCTATTGATAGTTTTGGCATAAAGAATACTTCAATGAAACTAGTTTTTTTTATAAAAACTCAATTTGTGTTGCAGTTAACATTGGAAAATTTTGGTGGCTCAGAAGAAAACCTTCATCTTTTAGGCCGTAATCCAGACAAAGAACCTGCTGTTCATAGTGGTAGACGGGAGTCTTCTGCTAGGTCAAGCGTTCTAGATAATAACAGTGATGCTCTTCATCATGCTCTACAAGAAGGATATAGTTCAAAACAAGGTTCTTTTGTTTTAAATCTATTTTATGGAAGTTATTGATTAATTTTATTGTTTAATATATATTATTGTTATATTATATATCACTAATTTATTAGTATCAATTAACCTATGATGTGTTCTAAATTTTGTTTATATTATGCTTTACACTATTTAATTTTATTTTTGTATTCATTATTAGTATGAATTAGCAATTTTATTTTAATTGGCAAGCAGGGATTAAAAATTATAAACATTACATATTTCTTAAGTAAATTTTTTATCTGCTGAAAGATATGTATATTTTTTATATTATTCTTTTGTAATATTAATTAGTAGTATCAGTTTTTGGTATATCTAGATTCAGTATTATGTGTTAATTTTTCATTGATGTTCTTTAAATTTAATAATATCTGATTTCCCATTTACTATTAGTGATTTACTAGTTATTAGAAGTTTTTCCAATATCATTCCCCTTTTAGTTAATGAATTTATTTGACTGTACTTAAAATCTTCTGCTTGTTACTATGCCTACTACAATATTATTTGTAACTTTAACAATATTTAAAAATCTTATAACCCTACCTGAATATTGATATCACAATTTATATTAAAATTACAGCTGGGAAAAAATAAATGTGTCATAACCGGTGTTAACCTACACTGTTGTCATGCTTCCATTGGAATATTATCGGGTTGTCAAACTATTATCTAGGTTTACAATCACCATCGCTGTTCAAGGATTATCAACAGATGTTTGATAAATTTTATAACCTTTATAGCTAGTAATAAGTTTTTTGTATGAGTAGTATTTCTAGTTTTTGGATAATTATATATTTAATAGATCCCAACTGTGTTTTGTTTAAAACATTAATATTTAGATAATTAATATGATTAACATAAAAATAATAGATTGTATCCAGTCTATTATTGATTTACAAAATTGTTGTTTCTGTATGTGCTTTTGGAGCTTGGGGAAGTAGTAAGCTTTGAATGACATTTCTTATGTGCCATATCCCTTAGCTGGTCATCACAGCAGAGCCAGTTAGTTACTGCAGGATTATTTTTCTCATTTGCTTTGGGCCATACTCCTCTGCACAAGTCTTCTGCTAGTTCTTCTTTAAGTTGTAGTGGAATTGAGAACTTAAAAAGCATCTAATACAATTGTAATCATCTATCTATATGTAACTTGAAACCTTTAGAAGGCATTGTTCTCTGCTCTTAAAATAATTATTAACTACATTTCTTCTGTTACTGATTTTTTGCAATTGAACAAATCATCTTGTGAAGTTAAAGTGGTTATATCATCAATATTTTTGCTAATATCTTATTGCTTTTGTATTGTTTTTTACTCAATCTAATCAATTTGATTATTAAATAGCCCCCTCTCACTCCCTTCCTTTATTATATTTGAAAAAGTTCTTTCTTGTATGCAATAATATTGAGTTAGGCCTAGTTTTTAAACTTTTGCTAGACTTGAATATTATTTTCTAATTCATCTACTGTAGTGCTCTTCGCAAGTACTTGGAACGAGAGAAAACTTTTACATGTGCTTGCTTATGATTTCTATTCATGTTGCAAGATTTTTTTTTAAGACTCATTCTTTTTTATGGTTATGTAATCTGAATTTGAATCTCTACAAATTTTTTGTAAAATAATTTGTTTATTGTATTAATCTAAGAAATTATTGCAACATACTTAAACAAATATTGTTTATTGACCAATGGTTATAATTGAAAATGTTATCATCAGTTTTCCTATTCTTTAAAAGACCTAGTTACACACTCTGGGCTGGTGCATGCTGTAGGATAGTTTCCCTACTCCAGCATCAATCCATCACTGAAATAACAGAATAGAATAAAAAAAAAAAAAAAAAAAAAAAAAAAAAAAAAAAAAAAAAAAAACTACCACTAACATCCCATGAAGGGTCTAGAGTTCAGTACAGTGTGAGGAAGTACTGTTACAAGGCCAATGGTTGTGCAGGCTAGTATCACCCTCAACCACCGGGTTTTCTCCCTTAATTAATTATTTAATTAAGAGTATCCACTTTATAGAGGCTGGGTTTGCCCCAGGATCGACCCACAGCTGATGAAAAAGTACTAGTCACTAGCCGGATTCGAACCTGGGACCTTGACCTGTGGAAGTCAGTGCTCGCCCACTGAGTTACCCCTCCTCCCCGAATAGATTAAACATATTAATAATATTTTTATTGAAACATATAGAAATTTTATCAAGTAATTTATTTAATTTCAAACTATGCTTATTATAAAATTGAAATTTTACGAATATTTTTCAGCTCCAGAACCTCCACCTAGAATGTCACTTTCTAGAAATAATAGCTTCATTGAATCTCAGAAACGGGCAGAGGAAACAAGGAGTAGTGCTGGCATTCAACAAACACTTTTGGAACCCCAAAGCAGTAGTAAAGGTGATTTGTTGTATTTTTGTTTTGACACCTTATTGATTATATGTTGTTTTTGAAGCTATTGTGAGCTCCTTGTTTGCCAAAACATTTCTTTTGCCCATTCTGCTACTTAGCTTAAATTCCTTCTAGTCTTCAAAACTAGTGTTAAGTTTATACCAGAGATAATATAATTAATAACACAAGTTATTAATACAGTACTGAATTTTTTTAAAGATTTTCATTTATAACGATTCCTTGAAAATGTTAATAACATTCTATTATTGACTGATGTATGAAGTACAAAGCAGGCATAAAGGAGTCATCAGTGTTTAACTCATTACATTATTGTTAGAGACATGGTTAAAAACAATGATAATAATTGACTGGTGTAAATTGCAGTCAACATCAAAAATGTTTTCATTATTATTAGTATTTTACTATCAATAGTGTTATTAGTAACATTTCAGTGTAAGCTCACCAACAGAAAATTTCATGAATTTCCAATATTTGAGTAAATATCTTTAATGTATAACGTATTCATATACTTCCATATTTTGGCTATTGAAAACATTTAAGACTTATATTCAACTTATCTCTACTGACTATTTCTTATTATTTTGAATCAAATTTAGACAGATATTGATTGATTTGTAATTGTTTTAAATTTTTTGACTTTTTTTTTCCAAGTCGGGCTTCAGACTCTACACTTCATTTAAATATTTGTTTACTTCTCTCCTTATTTGACCACCATGTTCTTATCTCCTCTATCCAACTGATTCCCAAGCATGCTGTGTTGCTGAAGGTACCTCTTCTTCCTCGGGACTCTAGGAAGACTGTAATTTATAATAAGACTATAATTTGTTCTCACAACAAATTTATTCCACCTAAAGATTAATATTTTCAAATAATTATAGTTTTCCTTGCCCTCTGATAAAACTTATTTTCTGTCAGTATAGCCTTTTCCTCAGGATCTTAATCAACTGCATTATCACCTTCCTTTGTGATTAAATTTTCTTTTTAAATCCTGCAAAACTTTCTTCTCATGTAGTTAAATTCAGTCTCACTTTGTAGTCTAGTATACCTTTATATGTGATGCTGTTCTACAGACTATAATGGTTCTCGGCAGAGCCATACTTAGTTATGGTTGATGCCAAACTATTCTATTATAGATATTCCTACTTTAGAAAAATATACAGCTCTCCTTTGTTTATCATTATCATTTCTTGACATTTAGGTCCTAGATGACACACACATCTTATTGAGCCCAATTTATTTATGGGTAATCAGACAGGTGTGGCCATCTTAATGAAAATTTTTTATTTTCTCCTGTTCTCTGTCAAAAAATAGTTCATCGTTTTTTTTCTTTTTTTTACTTTTTTAACATTTGTTTCAAATATTTACACTAGTTTTGTATTTTTCTGTTTATATAAAATTAAAGAAACTAAGGAGTTAAAATTCTACTATTGTATATTTTTGCATTATAAACTAGGTAAAAATGATCATATCTAGTTGTATACCTTTTCACAGTAAAATTTTATTTCAGACCAAAAGCAGCAAGAACGTGAAAAAAAGGTTACAACCTTTGCAGCATTACCCAACAACACGACCACTTGGCAGCAACAATCACTTGCCCATCAGACTTCAGATCATCTTGATAATGGTAACTGTATTATAATTTATCTAATATTACAACCATATATTTCTTGTTTTGCTTTTATACATAAAATTTAATGTTATGACACAATAAATGTTATAGTAAACACACCTATTCTATGGGTATCGTTTATAACGATGACGGTTGTAACAATATCAGGTATAACAACGCACATGATAAGTCCGATGATACCGAAGGCTTTTGTAACATAATTTTTAGTGGCTATAACAACTGATTAGATTTAACGACTTGATTTTGTAGAATTTTTTAAACTTATATATTTAGAAATATAATGATCTGTCACAAGGACAATAATTATTGTGAAACATGAACACATTTACACCATATACATAAAAAACATAAAAGTAACAAAAGTAATGGAAATGGAAATAACTTAACTTTACATACCGAACTATTCAAGAAATATGAGTGATATGGAGTTTTTATTAAACCTTACCAAACTTCCTAGAGTAGAATGAAGACATGGATTAGTAATTAGATCTTCTCTTGTTATAATCTTTAGTGGAATTTTCATCTTTTTTCATTTTTATTTTTTAACTCTTGATCATTTGAAGTTTTAATTATTTGAAATTTATAAATAATATTATACTTAACTTTTCTACCTTGTTTTTTTATCAAAAATAGGCTTGGGAGATACTGTTGATAATGGAGTTATGGGCTCTCAGCTACTGAATATAAGACTGAAGCTTGAAGAGAAAAGAAGAAGAATAGAAAGTGAAAAAAGAAGGATGGAAGCCCAAATGAACAGGCAACGCCAGAAAGTTGGCAAAGCAGCATTCCTCCAAGCTGTTTCCAAAGTAAGTTTTTTATTATTACAACCAAATGTATTAAGTTAATAGGAAGTAATTTGGTTTAATAAATCCAAAGTAATTTGTAAGCTTTTTACTATTACTCTAAAATGTTTAAAGTTTTTAAATGAATTGGAAATAATATAGCGTAATAAATAAATACACAGTGAAGTGAAGAAAACAAAATTTATTGGTAGTTCAATATTATTATGTTAACTTATGTTTTTTTGTAAATAAAAAAAAAAATTGAGATTGGCTAATATTATTAAATAATACAGATCTAATTATCTTTGCCACTAGTACCTGTTCTCATTCTCAACTAGTTGTTATAAATTTTTTTTAAACTGTTTTTAATCCACTTGATGTTTTCATCATTCTCATGAGTTTACTCTATGCTCTGATCAGTCCAAATACCAGAACAAAATTATTGGTAATGCCTAACTTTATACAGTTTGGGTTTTTTACAACCCAGAAACTGTTGAAACAATTTGAGCTAAAAATAATTAAGTAAAATGTGTAATCAATTTGCATAAAGCTATGTAACGCTTTTTTGAGCTAACGGCTGGATCAATTTTTGAGTTTGTTGGCTCAAATTATTCGATGAGAATCCCTGAGTGTTTTGAAACAATTTGAGCTAGAAATACTGATCTGTTATTAAATAATACGTGTTCAATAAATTTTCAAAGAGATTTGTAAAGCTATTTTAAGCGAATGACAAATGGATAGAATTTACCAATTTCTGTAGTCTATTTTTTTTTTTTTTAATTCAAATATTTTTTTTTATTATTTGACTAGGCAGTTTAGTAATATTTGAATACTAAGAGGCAGCTTTGTTCTAGAAGTCTATTAAGAAAGACAATTTTATTTCTATCACTATAAAGATTTGATATTTCAGAATTAGATGATAAATGTAAAATAAAACATTCATCTATTGGTTCCTGGAGTAAAGAAAAATCATTCTGTTTAGAAAATTTCCTACATGTGCGAAAATGTTTGTCATTTATATGATCATTGGTTTCTCCCACATTCAGAAATTGTGTGCCAGTATAACGTATTTTCAAATGACAATAAAGTTGTTGAAAACACAAAAACATTTGAGAATAATCCTTCTTAGTTGCATTTCTCACATACATTTCAATATGATATTTCATACCTGTCTTAACCAACAAATGTTCGACCAGTACAGTTTTCGTCTCATCCACTCAAACCAAGGAAATGTTTTGTGTAAGAACTAAATCAACAATAGATGGAAAACAGTGTACAGCTGGATACTTCAAAAACCACAGAAGCAAGGATGTTTGTGTATGAGGCAGATGGTAGCTCTCAAAAATTGATTTGCAACTTTATCTTTTATCTGTATAATTTTTTTTTCTCAGCTTATTACAAACAATGGAATTTACATTGTAACACTTTACTGAGCATAATGGCTGAGCAGGCTAACACATATATAAAATACGCATTGCCCGTTAACCTTGATAAACTGAAGATTATAACTTCAATTTCCGTGCCTAGTGAACTTTTAATTCTGGAATAATTCTCCCGTCCCCTCTCCTGGACTGGGAAAAAAACCTGTATAACTAACTATAAGGCGTGGAAGGGGAGAAAAAAATGTAACTCTTTAGGTTCGTTACTTGATGAAACTTGAGCTGATTTTTAGGTTTTTATTAATTTATTCTACTGTTCTTATTTATTTATTTTAGTTTCTTTTCAAAAATTATTTAATCAGCCATACCTCGCCTAGTATCTAAAATCTAGATTTTATCTATCTATTTTTTATCAGGTTATAGGGAGTGCTACCACTGGTTAGTATCTCTTCAAGTCTTTTCATGTCATTATTTCTAATGTGTGAATATTTACTGGTTGAATTTGTAAACAGTTGTAAATTTCATTAAATAAATAAATAAAAAGTTTTTATTAGGCTGGTTGTTATTTCTAATTATTCAAGTTGGATACTATACGCTTGTCTGTTCATCTTATTTATATTATGTCATCTACTATGAGAAGCTTTCGATGTCCAGCATGTTATTTATCTCAGTTGTATAATATCAACATCATTAAAATACAAAACATGTATATAACAGAACATGTCATTGTACAGAATGTTTGAGGCTTAAGTATTCTAACTGGGAATATGGATTAAGGATCTCTAAACAAGAAAAGAAATTCTTATGAGGGTATGTCCATTAATGTTAATTAATACTGTTTTGAATTAGCACTCGGAGCCCTCATTGACATTTATTATTTTATTTAACGCTTTTGCAGAGAACTCATCATTATGCTTTGCGTTTATACTAATGGTGAATATCCTGATCTGACAGCATTGGATTTTTTTGTTTTGGGTGACATTAAGCAAACAGTCTATGCAAGCCCTATCCTTGACCTTAATTTTTTATGGAGTAAGATAATTGACGAAACAATAATACATTCTAGTGCAGTTTGGCCGCTGCTACTGTGCAAGAAAGATGCTGAGCCTGTCTTAATACTCAAGATAATCAAATTGACCAACATTTAATATGAATTTTGATGTGTAAATTCCATTAGTATTCATTCTGTAGCTAAAACATATATTAATTTATTTATTATAACCTAAATAATTCATTAAAAAAAAAAAAAAAAAAATATATATATATATATATATATATATATATATATATATATATATATATAGAATAGAATAGAAAAATCATCTTTATTCTGGGACTAGGTCCCTTTAGAATAACAGTATTGATCATATAAATTAACCATAAATCTGGCCAAAAGACTTATTACAATGAATAATAACAAAATACTAGTAATAAATTAAGTATTAATTAAGGATAAATTAACGAGAACAGTTGAGTAAGAGGGGTTCAGTACTACAATATTGGAGCTAAAACAATAGCATAATAATCACTGAACGAAATTAGAAAGGAACGCAATATCAATTTTATAGGAAAAGCATTGTAGTGATGGAATATAAAAATTTAAAAAAAATAATAATAACTGTAATATGTAAGGAAAAGAAATTGTAAAAACAAAACAGAAAAGTTTACATAAATATCTGCTATTAAGTGTTAACAGTCCTGTCAAAGTGTTAACAAATGTACCTTTATATTAATATTTTTTCTTGTTTCAAGATTCTTAATTCATATTTTCAGTTAGGACACTTCATCTTGAAACACCCTGTATATTCAAATTAATGAAGAGACAACCATATATCTTAGATCTTTTCTTATTTTTTTGAAATCTTTATTTACTGTCGTATTTTAATGTTGTTGATGTTATTTATATTATTAGTGTTGGACACCAAAAGTTTCTCATGGTACATGATATAAAATAATTTAGACAAAGCGAGGCTAGTATATGATATCCAACCTGAACAATTTGTTTTTTAGTAATATTTTGTAAATATGTATTCTATTACTTTCTTTATTCATATCTTATTTTATATTTTATTTCTTTAGTTTTTCTATATTCTATTTTATTCTTTTGTTTTGTTCATTTATATTAATTCTACATATATACATTGTGTGTGTGGTTAAGGTAACATTGAGCACGGATATAAATATATTTTTCTTTATACTCACTGATACTCACCTTATATTATTATTTCCAATTTATTGGTGGAGGATTTTTGCAATATATGTATGGTGTAGGGTAAGGTGGTGAAATCACCCGATTCAGATCCAGGGCGGGGAACTAATGAAGTTACTGAGAAACCAGCAAGACCATTTTCACTTCAGGTAAACATATTTAAATTTTCAATAAATTATTCATCTCGCTTATTTCTTCTCAATATTAGGCATCATGAATTTCTTAGTACGTATTCAATATCTAAGAGAAGAGGGATATCAGAGTTAACCATAATAACTATTTTATTTAATGTTTACTGATATAAACATTGAATCAGTAACAACGTTGCTGTGTAAATTAAAATTTTTATTTAGCACATAAGTTAATGTTTTTAAAATTCATGAAAAGGCTTTTTCTCATATGAATGATTGGTACCATAATAAAAGTATATAGTTTTAGTTGATAAACGTTTAGGGTAACATACTCAATCATTCTCTCTCTTTCTCTTTCCCACTCTCTCTCTCTCTCTCTCTCTCTATATATATATATATATATATATATATATATATATATATATATATATATATATTCACGTTCACACAACACTCATTTGTACAGTGACTCACCAACTTTTATCAAATGACACTAAGTGTTAAGTTATTTGACTACCTTGGAACAAAGGACCCATGTCCCAAAACATTGAAATTTAACTTTTGTTCATCAATATTTCAATTTATACAGTCATTTGAAAATGAATAATACTTTCATGTATTTATGAAAGAATTTTTTTTTCTCTATGACTTTAACTTCCAATCAACTTCCCAACTGAATAATACTTTCATTTGATCAATTTTGTGAGTTGCTGTATTTGTATTTCCTCTCTATTTTCTAATTTCCTGTAGCTAGTGGCATGATGGAGCATGATATTAACTATGTTTTGAATGCATGAGTTTTTACATCATATTTATACCACTTCTTCTAGTAAATATATCCATTTTTAGTTAAAATAAGACTAGCATAAATGAACATAAGAAATTATAGGGATATAAAGTCTACATGCAAACATATTTGGGTACTCTTTAAATAGCCTGTCCTGACGAAACCCCCATTGTTATCTAATGTTATATTACATAACCTCCCTTCTTATTCTTCTTGTTCCCTATACTGTGATCTTCATCCATTTCATTACATTGTGGGAATTTCCGTCTTCAGAAGCAGAGGCTATCACATATTTTCAAGAAACCCGGGATAATTGTTTTGTTATTATTACTTTTGTTTTCTTCTATTTAATATATATGTTGTAGAATAAAAGTATTAAATCAAACTGTTTTGTTATTATTACATTTATTTTCGTCTATTTAAAATATGTATGTATATATATATATATATATATATATATATATATATATATATATATATATATATATATATATATATTTATTTATTTATTTATTTATTATTAATGCATTTGTTTTTGCAATAAAATGAATACAAAGATAAGAATTATCAGTGTTAAGGTTATAAACATTGGCAGATAGCAGTCGGACATGACCGGCTATTTAATAAATAGCAACAATGAAATAACCATAGAATAAGATTGGTAACTATACAGTTTCCCAAAATATAAAATGTTAATTTAGCGCTATTTGCTGATGATACAGCATTTTTCTCGTCCTCATTCCGTTCAGATACCATTATAAATAGACTGGCTGATTCTTTCGATAAAACATCTAAATACCTTAAAAAATGGGGATTAGAACTCAACATAAACAAAATTGAAGCCATTATATTTACTAAACGACATCCTATAATTCTACTGAACATAATCTTAAATATTCTACAATTCTGCTTGCCAAGTCGGTTAAATACTTTGGTGTCACACTCGATAATAAACTCCAATTTAATCAGCACATAAATTCAAAATTAGAAAATGCCCAAAAAGTAATATATAAAATGTTTCTATATTTCAAAAAAAAAAAAAATTAAAACTTTCAACCAAAAACAAATTAATTCTGTATAAATCTGTAATAAGACCAATTTTAACATGTCTGCCCCATACGGAGCTTTACTAATAGAACTAACATAAAAAAACTTCATTTTTTTCAAAACAAATGCCTTACAATTGTCAACAACTATCCCTATTGTACCAAAACAACTAACTCGGAATGAGATATGCCTTAAATACAAGATTACATTTACAAAACAACCTGAGCCTTCTTTCAATCTCAAGAACATTCTTTGAATCCCTTAATAGCTGAAATAAAAAATTATACAAAAACATCTACACCAAAATATAAACATAAGAGAACGAAACATATTCTGCTATAAAATAGTCTATATTTTATTTTATAGTAAATAGTATTGATTTTTTTTTTTCCGTAGTGTTTATTTTTTTTACCAATAAATGCAGTATCTTTTATTTATAAAAATATATTGTACAGGAGTACAGACCCACAGCAATTGTAAACATGTAGTTGGAAAATATTTTTAAAAAGTCTGATGTGCGTGACACACAACTTTCACTTACCGCTCTACTTTAAATACAAATTATGTTCCGACAATCTTAGCCTGTTAAAAAATTGTTGAAGTGCATTTTCAACAGAGCTACAGCTAACAACCCATTAAGACCATTAAAATAACAAAAACCCTATTAATTATATCAACTGTAGGCAATAAAAAACTCGCTACTCCATCTGTTTTTGTAAACAACATAACTCATCTCGGAGGTATATATATCCATATGTTAGGCAGAAGGTAGCCAGCCGGGGCTAGTAAAGAGGATCGGTGAGAAGAAAATGTTAGTTAACAAGTAGTGAGTGTCTACACAACTAGACGAAGACAAGAAAATAATAGAACTAGAGTTGTAGGAGTTGGATACAATACCGAGGAAGATTCACTGCAGAACAGGGTGATTGAAATATAAATGGACAGTTCGAAAGCATGCCAAGATTATACCCCGAGAAATGAATGGAAATTCATAAATGTGCTGTATAATTAATGAATGCTTTTATATTGTATAATTAGAGGATGTGTGTTTATTGTCTCAACCCAACCTGGGAATTAATTATCGTGTAAAATAAATGTGATTTGATTATCTGCTAAGAGAGATTTGAAAGCATATCTGTATATTCAATCTATAAATGATAATGGATTATATGCCTATTAGTTATTAAACTGTTAAATAAAGTTTGCTAAAATCAAATTACGAGATTTTCATTGCCTGCAATAGGTAGGTCAAAAGTTGTCATATGATCATAAGTGGATCATGATGGGATTTCATAAAGAGAAAATTTATAAAATTATTCACTAATTTAATTTTCTGAGTTATATGATGATTTTTCGGAATAAACAAACGTTGATACCTAATTATTAAAATATAATATCAGATCTAGAATTTTATTATAGCCCAACATGGCCAGAAAATAATTTCTATTTAATGTTGAGCGTTAGTGAAAGTTGTGTGTTAAGCGCACCAGATTTTTTAAACAATGCCATTGTCTTGATTAATTGGATTTTAAATACTTTGTTTTCAAACTTGGAAAAAGTTTACATTTAGTTAGTAAATTTCATTTAATTTCCTTGAAAACATGTTATTTATGTTAAATAATATTAGTTTTCACGAATTATTATTTATAATTTTTTGTCACTCTCCATTAGTTTCTACAACTTTCTATATTTGATATTGTTTTTTCTAAAATTCTCCGCTTTCCAACAATATGTTATACGTATACCAGTCAGAAGGACTAGTATTTCCGGAAATTCATTTTCGACCTATATAAACATATATATAAACTCCCTATATAAACTTTTTTCTTAATTTTTTAATTATCAAATTCTTTCAATGTTATATTTATCTTTTTTTTTTCGTAACTCTTAATAATGAGATTCTTCTTCTTCTTAGTCATTTCCTCTTCTACCGCTGAGTGGTGTGAGGAGCCGTTAGATAATGAGATATAGTTATTAAGACTCAGGCGACCTCAAAATGTGTATTTCTATTGAAAACTCAGATTCAAAAATTTTCACGATCGCAATACTTTCTCTTACTTACTATCTAGTTCTGCCATAAATACTGTTTCAAAAGTTGAACTTTATTTATATCCTTGGGTATTATTTAGATGATCCTTACCTCTATCAGGTTATTTTCTTTACATGTCAGGGTAATAATCCCAATTAGTTTGTATTTTTCATTCGCTCAGTTAACATGGGATGGGGTGATAAAGAAAACCGAATAGCTATGATCGCCTTACGAAAAAAAGTTGGAAAATGTAGATCAGAGATTTTCAATACTTTGAAACCTTTAGGTATTAGCCGTATGTTCATGTACCACACTATAAATAGATATAATGAGACCCTATCTGACAGACTTCGACTGGGCCGTCCCCGTACTGTGACAACGGCAAATGCAGTGAGAACAGTGGCTGGTTGACTCAGAAGAAATCTCATTAGAAAACAACAAATCATGTCTCGGGAAATGAAAATCTCTGTCAGATCAATGCCTCTCATAATAAAAAGTGACCTTGGTATGGGTGCATTTCGAAGAATAACAGGACAAAGGCTAACCACTTCCCTAAAAAAAATTAGAGTGGATAAATGCAAAGTGCTCCTTGGCTGTTAATTGCTCCTTGCTCTTCCTTGACATATTTTGTTTAGCGATGAGAAAATTTTTACGATTAAAGAAAAATGTAATCACCAAAATGATCGTGTGTTCGCAAACAGCTCTAAAGAAGCCCAGGAAGTCATTGGAAGAGTGGAAAGAGGTCACCACCCTTCCTCAGTGATGGTTTGGTGGGGAGTTTGCTTTCATGGCACGACAATGCTCCATTTTTGTGAAAAAGGAGTTAAAATAGCCGCTAAAAACTATCAGGACTGTATTTTGCAACCTGTTGTCAAGCCTCTAAATGATACTCTGTTTTCTAGAAGTAATTGGATTTTCCAGCAGAATTCTGCTCCAGCACACAAGGTCAGGCCAACTCAGCAGTGGCTGCAAAAGAACATTCCAGAGTTCTGGCTCATAATTGGCCCTCAGGAAGTCCTGATCTCAACCCAATAGATTATTGGCTTTGGTCCGAACTGGAGAGAATTGCATGCATAGAGCACACCCTAACTTGGAAAGCCTCAAACAATCTCTGGTCAGACCAGTTGGGTGCTTTCCTCAAGAAGTGCTGCATACTGCTATTGATGACTGGTCACGGAGATTAAATGCCTGTGTCAAGGCGAAATGGGGACATTTTGAATAATTTCTTTTTTATTTTACTCTATAGATATACATTTTATTTTCTAATAGAGTTTTTGAAAAAATTAGTTTTCTGTTGAAATCTGTATATATTTCCTTGTAATAATATTTATGGCAGAACTAAGTATGTATTACATATATAGGTAAGTGAAAGTAATTAATCATTTATAAAAAAAAAAAAAAAAAAAAAAAAAAACTAATATACAAAATATCTCTTTCAAATTCAAGGTTCTTTAAAAAATGTTTAATGTGTGGAGAGTTTAGATGTGCAGAGGTTCAACTGTTTCTATAAAAATAATAATTATGTTTGTTTTATTAGAGTATAATGTCATTTTTTTTAAAGCACGAGTATTTACATTCCATTTAATTAATCTATTTTCTCAAATATGTAAATATATACTTCTAGTTGCTGAGTACAACATTTAATATAAGAAGGTGAAAAAAGAATGGGTCACTTTTAAATAAATGAAATTCTAAGATTGTTAGTATAATTGCATTAATCAGTTGTGTAATGGATAGTTTTGGCTAATGTTCATGCTAATATAGGGATCAATTGTTGTCACATACTGATGCAATTAGTGGAAGCACCTTAATATATTTGTGTAAGGTGTAGAGGATAATGTTGTTACAGTCGATCACTACTTTGTTTTTTTGTTTTACAATTACAATTTTTGAGTATTTCCCGGAAAACAATTATTGAATACTGATGTAGAGATGGTTGACCGTTGATATGATATGAGAAGGAATTAGTCGAGGGTGCGGTCAAAAAAATAAAAAAAATTAAAATATATAAATAATTTTAATTTTTGCTGACGTTTCGACCCACTTTGCAGGTCGTCTTCAGGGCGTTGGATGTGGCAGTGACACTGCTAACTAGAGTTTTTGACACTGCCAGTGTTTCAACTGCCTCCCGCAGTGCCACATCCAACGCCCTGAAGACGACCTGCAAAGTGGGTCGAAACGTCGGCAAAAATTAAAATTATTTATATATTTTAATTTTTTTTTATTTTTTTTTACCGCACCCTCGACTAATTCCTTCTCAAATTATTGAATACTGTTTTAAATGCTGGAGAGCGACCCAAAAATTTCTGCTTTTAGTTTGTTTTTCATGGCTTCAACTAACATAAAAACATTTTTGTGAAGAACAATCCTAATAATCCAGAAAAAGTAGCAAAGGTGGAAAATTGGAGTTTGGTATACTTGGACTAATTATGGTGTACAAGGAAGAACTAGAGATCTAACTAAAACTAGGTGATTGACATTTCTTTTAAGGGTACATATATATAAGTTGCCAGGCATTTATATACTTAAACAACCAGTAAGTTAATATTATTTATTCAGCTTTTAAATTATGTGCTAAATAAATAGCCTACATTGAGAATTTATATTTTAAAGTAATAAGCCTAAAGTGTTTTATTTTAAGCCATATTATGTTCATAATTTTTACTGATGGTCAGTTATTTCCCATCCATTGACATTAATAGGCAGGCAGCCCTGTTGATGACACACAGCATAAATCGAAACTTAGACAATAATTAATTTTAAGTCACACTTTTCATTTATGTATCTAGTTTCAGCTGATAATGTCTGCATTAATGTACTCTAATAAATATGTTGCTAAAATTGTATTTTTTTACTTATTCAATAGGCTTGGGGATGGCCAAGAAAGGGTAATTTGGACACTTTTAACATATAACAATTAAAAAATGAAATAGCAACAAACATGAATTTTTTTTTATAACCAATTGATTGACAGCGATTGGTTTTTATTATTTCAGAATTTTGAAAGAAGCTAATTGTTTTAAAAGGACATCCACATGCAAGAAATTCAATTTAAAATTTTTCCCTCTATGAAGCAAATTTTGTTCGAGCTAGCAACGCCCTTGTCTGTAGGTTTTTCGGAACATTTTTGTAAATAAATTATTTAAATGTAATGAAGAATCCCTAAGTTATAAATTATTTACTTTAACTATTTTTCTAATTCTACAGCTGTCGGCGATACAAAAACTTGAATTTTATATATTTTGGAAAATTATTTACGTTGTTAAAACATAATTTTCGATTGTTAATAAGGATAGAAAATTGAGCTAATGAATAAAAATATTATTAAAATCTGTGAAAATGGATTTAATTTAATTTTATAGTTTGATTTGAAATTAAATGACATGATGCTTTTGAGGGTAGTCAGTTGGAAATCACTGTTCTAGATGATACTAAGCTAATAAATCAATTTTAGACCTTGTTTACTCCTATAAAATTAACAATTATTATCATTGTGATACAGGATATATCAGAAGTTGAACAAAAATGGTTAACTGGTGATGGTTTTATTGAAGAGCAAAAAACTCCTGATATGGAAAATATTGATTTAGAAACTTACCAAAAATCTATTGCCCAGTAAGTATTACATGATTAGTTCAAATTTAAGTTGTTGAACTTTTTTTTTTAACTTGTAAGAAACATTTGTTTGATTTTTTTTCTAGAATGAATTCAAGTTTACATGAAATTCAGGCAGATTTACAAAGGCTTGCAAATCAGCAGAATCAGTTGCAGAGTAATCAACCCAATATCCAACCCCAACCCCCTATTCAACCTTCACCACCTCCTCAGATGCAGAGCTTTGCTTCCCTCCATCACCAACAAGCAAATTATACAAGTCAACATATCAACTTCAACAGCCAACACTCAACACCTACCCATAACGTAAACCAGCCTCAGCTTCAGCAGCATGGTACTTTTACTCAACAGCAGCCATCTCAGGTCTCTTACAATACTAATCAGCAACAACCAATCAATTATGGCAACCAACCTGGAACTTTCACTTATAATAATCCACCCCAAAGCAATGAACATGAATATTACAATGGAAGATCGTTTAGTGCTAACCAACAGCAACATCAAAATCAAATGCAGCAAATGCATAGTCTGATGACCGGTGCAAATAATAGCCAAACCAATTTTAACAGCAACCAGCAATGGCACAGTTTAAGTCAACAAACTCCTCCTCAGTCTAACTACAATACTTATTCTTCCAGGTATTTATTTTTTTCTCAATGTTTTATAAATTCTAAAATTATGATTAATATTTATTTTGAAGTTTTCTTCAGTTACAGAAATGTGAGCCAAATCAGGTATACAGTAGGCTCCCCCTTATTCGTCCTAGTCGAAACCGAAACATTGCCAATTAAGCGGGAGAGCCGGTTAGTCCGAAGTGTATAAAAGAAAAAACTCCAATTTTAATTTAGTTCTTATATTAGGTAAAAAATTAAAATAAGTATAACAATTAATTTATAGGTCATAATTATATTGATATATGTTGAAGTTAAATTTATTAGACCTATTTATTATAACTTAAATAAAACTGTCTTTAGATAGATGATTATTTAAGTGTAGAATCATTCAGTTTTTAATAATAATCACAAAGGCAGTTTTTTGTTTTCTACAACAGCATATTCGTCCTTCTACTTTTTCAAAAAAGGAGTATCCAACACTGTAAGAGGTTCTTGTGTCAGCAAGAATACATTGTACAAAATTTTGTCTAAAGCAACTTAACGTTATACCAATCCAATTATCATAAATGGTTACAGAAATGAGGGTAGTTCAGATTTTCTTGATATATTGTATAGGTTCACAGTGTCGAAAAATTCAAGTTTTACAATTCCTCCCACCTTTGATATATTTTAACATCATTACACACATTTTGTATCACACATTTTAAGACATACAAAGTAGATTTTAAGAAAAACGTGCTAAAATTGTTTACCTTCCTTATTATTTTATAAATAACTGTTAAAGTATGACAAACAAAAAAATATATAATATTTACTAATTTAAACTACCTAATTTTTGAGAATATTATGAAACTTGTATTCTGTGATAGAGCTCTGAATATTTAGACTAAATCAGTTTTATTGAATATTATAAATACATTTAATAAGATAAAAGCAAAATAATAATATTGAAAAAATATATATAATAAATAAAAATAAAATAAACTTGAAGTAAAATAACATCGAACCAGACCTGTCCCTCCACCCATAGTGGATAATCAGGACTTAAGGAAATCACAACACTATTCTCTCAACCAAGTCACTATTACTAAAAGTGGAGATAGTTTAGTAGTGCTGTAGCCTTATATGCACTTTTCTTGAGTGAAGAATATGACTGTTGACAGAACTTAAAAATATACATATTTATACAAAGTCATGGGGCCACTGCCGTTTCTTCAACCTTCAAGGAGGGCTTTAGAAAAGGATGGAGCTAGTTAGGATTGTACTCGAGGATTTGGATGATATATAAAGTTCTGGTGAAGTTTAGAGAATTTTCTGGAATGTAGTCTATAACAAATAAGATATTAAGTTCATAATGTAGGGTTATATTGGTTACATACTATGGGCCATTAGCTATTTTTTGATGAACTTTAGACTAAAAAGGACTGGATTTATTACAAAATTTTACTGTTTTGCACAGTTCTAGTCTATAGGTCCAGATAAGTTTCAGGATTGTCTTGTAGATTAGTAATTTCTTCAACCATAAATATTGGTTGCCAGAAAGATGGTGGTAGCAGGAATGTTAGTGTTAAAGAGAATGTATAGGAAAGAAACCAAGACGCTCTGTTGAGATATACCGTCCTTAACTAGATAGCAATTGCAAATTTCTGTTCAACAACGAACCTGAAAGGTTAGATACTTGTGATTGGAACTGTATAATAACTGATATAAATTCAGCAAATGGATCTGGTGTGTCATTTGGGCTTGACTCACTGTCAACTTAAGGTCAGTGACTCTTGAGATGATTCATGAGGAAGAGTACCTCTTGACTTCCTGTTGGTGGAAGACATGTTCTGGCACCAAACGGTGATGGAAGGCTCGCCATGTCTATGGGAGAACCTTTGTATGAGGATCAATCAAGAATCTCAAATATGGAAGAAAATCCTGCGATAGTGACGCCCATGAGGAATGGAACTACCTGATTAATGTTAACAAAAGGAGCTATCCAAAGAAATATTTTCCTAGTCAGTTTCCGATTTGCAACAAAGCTGTCTTTGCTGTGTTTTGGGAGGAATAGAAAAACTTTAAATTTTTCAACACTACGTCAACTCTGACAAAATGTAGTCTTTTTTTTTTTAACTTCCATTTTTGTAACCATTCTAGAATTTTAGAAACAATTTCACTGGACTGTGTATTGGAATATTTAAAAATGATTCTTTTTTGTATGTTAATGACCTTCTTTTAGTCATTCTAATTTTGTTCAGATGATAGCGTAAATAATGAAATTAGTTTGATTTTTTTTTTAATCATGTTAATGCGAAGAGCGAGTTAAATGGGAGTCTACTGTATTTCCAATCAGCATATTGATATTCAGTCATTATCTTCTGCTTGTTTTTCCCACATTCATATTCTAAGATTATAGGCCATTTTGAGCAATATAAAAATCATTGATGTGGTTTATCACACAACTTTCTGTTAATATCCTACTTGGCGAAGAATAGTTCAAAACTTTGTGGGTCAGATAATGTTTATTTCTAGCTGTCAAGATTCATTTAGGTGACTACGAAATGAGTTTACTAATGTGTGTATTTACACCTAACTCAAAAAAAAAAAAATCTGGTGTGTGCAACACACAACTTTCACTTAAAGCTGAACTTTGAATAGAAATTAAGACATTTGCATTGTCTGTCATAGACAGGTCAAACTAACTGGAAGTGGATACTGTTGGAATATAACAAAGGAAAAATTATCAAATTATTCATTAATTTTATTTTCTAAAAGTTTACCTGATATTTTTTCAGAACAAACGGACTATAGATACCTAATTATTTAAATACACACATTAGGACACTCATTTTGTAGTCACCTAAATGGATTTTGACAGCTAGAAATAAACATTATCTGACCCACTAAGGTTTGAACTATTCTCCCCCAAGTAGGGTATTAACAGAAAGTTGTGTGATAAACCACATCAATGATTTTTATATTGCTCAAAATGGCCTATAATCTTAGCATTACGCATAAATATGAATGTGGGAAAAACAAGCAGAAGATACTGACTGATTATCAACATTATAAAATCTAGAGTTATTAAACTACAGTAAATAAATTTATGGTTATAAACATCCGTGAAATATTTTTATATTTCACTCCTTCTTTCACACAAGTACAATGAAGTAGTAATCTTAAACAGTGTCATTGTCTTGAATCCGTGGATTTTAAATACTTTTTAAAACTCAATGTTAAAAGTTAAAAAATAAAATGTTAAAAGTTTACATTTAGTAAGGAAATTTCTTACTTTATGTACTTAAAATTTTTAGATATTTTTTTGTCATGAGTAAACTATAAAAAATAGATTATAATACTTGCATACTTCCCTTCCTCACTGATATTTCAAGTTATTGGCTAAATACGAATCTTTTTTATTACGTAATATATGCCGCCAATCTTATAAATGTTCATAACCACTCTAATAATACAATTGCAGCTCAAATTCACAGGTCTTGTTTTCAATACAAACACTTAGTATTTCTCGAAAATATAATTTGAGAACTTGATTCCCTTTGTGAATATCTTGAAAAGAACTACAAAGCAAAGAATTCAACTATAGTTGTGTTTTTTATGTTTATGGTGACACATACAGTACCAAAAGAAGTGAATTTCATTGGTGCAAGCTTTGATGCTTCATTCATTATAAATTCAGTCTCTATTTGAAACCACGTAACTGTTAAGTCCCATCACTTAAGGAAAGACCAGAAAATGTTACACAAATTGAATTTCCATTATATTGAGATAAATATTTTTAATAGTAAGTGCTAGCAAATGTTACTCCATCTAATATAAAAAATCAACAATTGATTTTTATACATACAATTCAGGCAAAAGTAAAATAACCCTAAGTCAGAATTTTTTGTATCTATGGGATTTCATACTGAGACCGGACTTTATACTGCATTGATAATCAAAGCTCTTCTGCCTGTGGAATTGTTTACTCTATTGATACTGTTGGTGTCATCCTAACTATTAAAAACAACATTGAAACCATTGTGATTTGGAAAATTATTGTTTTTCAACATACTCAAACTCAAATTCTCCCATAAAGTACTAATATAATTCCTTTTTCGCGTATCAGTGCTTATAACAAAGACACAAGGTATGGGGAGATTCCACCTAAATACAAAGATAAATCATCTGTTGGATTTTTATCTATTAGATATGTTTTTAAATAACATTATATATCAAAATATTGTGATTTTTCTGTTTTAACCTAAAATAGGCCTAACCTTAAAAATATTGACTGTATTGTCATGGGAATCTCAATCGATCACTTTATGACGAATAATACTTTATTTGGTGCAAATTATTTTGCAAAGTTCCTACCCCCCGCAATTACGACTCCCAAGAAAGAATTTTTGTCTTTTAATCTGGGCGTACTATCCAGATATAAATTTCTACGACAAAGACCAAGTTATGACTGAAGTTTTACTAATGTTTGTTGTTTATTTTATATTCCATTCTTGTATTAAGATGCTACACTTTTGTATGGAGCTGAGAGCTGGATACTAACAGACTGACAGGAGAGTGAATCACCGCTGCCGAAATGAAATTTCTGCGAAGGACGGTTGGGAAAACAAGGAAAGACCGAGTTTGCAATGAAAATATTCGTCAGGAACTGCAGATAGCCCCACTGAAAGAGCTTCTAGAAACTCGACAGCTAAAGTGTATCGGTAATGTTATCAGGATGGACGGAATGTCAAAAGTTGGTTCTCCATTAATTTGAAAAGGATAGGATATAAATCAAATCAATGATGTGATGCTACGGACAAATCCAGTTATGACATTTTCAGAATTCAAAGTTTTAAATGACTAATAGCTCTGAAGTCAGAGCACAAAAATCGACTTGATCGTAGGCGAAGGTTTGAATGTAAATTATGAAAGCGTATGTTAAAATGAAGTTTATCTGCCATTCCAGAGCAGCTGCTTTGAAAAATGGTGGCTGATTTAAAGAATATTAGGCCGTTAATTTGAAGATCAACACGGGATGTATATTGCCACAAATGTGGAAAAAGGTTTTAACTGGTGTGTAAACATGCAGCCAAAAACGCCATCTTTTTTGTTTTTTCACCCATAACTCCTAATAGGTGAATCAAACTGAAAAATGTACTCTTTAAGAAATAAAAGAAGAAGATAGAATAATTTCTTTAATAAGAAAAAAAAAATACTCTATGAAATTAAAGAAAGTTTAATTGTGTCAAACGAGTACCTAGAAGTAGAAATTTTGTTAGAAACCAAATAGGTAGAAAACCATAGTCAGCAAACGTTGATTATTACCAAATTAGTCAAAAACTGAGACATACTACTGTAAATGGTCCTGTAGCTTGGAAATGAGTTCCCTAAGAGGAAAAATTCGTAGAATCAAAGTTGTTGTAATGTGAGAAATAGGGGTGAGGTTTTTCTCATACTATAATCGCTACATACTATTCAACTATGTTATGAAACCTCCGGAAAAAATCATATTCCAATTTAACACAAAAATAGTCCATTTTTAGAATTTTCTTCTTATATTGTTAGTCGCCTTCATAAACCCTCAAATAATGTAAAAAACAAAATTAAGAAATTTATTATTGGACTTATATGTTTAAAAGAATAATTTCCATAAGTATACCTCAGCCAATTTCAATGAAACTTAGTCTTAATCTTATAAATTGATCGAAAGAAAAAAAATAAGCATTGAATTGAATTAATCTCTTATTTATATATCTATATTTTTAAATAATATTCTTTACATGTTCTTTCCACAGAAATCCTTTTTCTTTCTTGATTGCTTTTTATTTAATTGCTGGAATCGGGTCTTATCTAGCGTGATCCTCGATAGAAAATGCTCAAATTCTATCAGGTTCTTTAGGATTGATCTAATTTAGTCTTAGAATAGGAAACCAACATATAGCATCTGTGCAATTGTCTCTAGAATAGATCTTGACAATAATTATTCATAATCAAAACTAAAGATTTATTAAACAAATATAAATAATGATATTTAAAAAACAAATAAGAATAAATGAATATATAAGAAAAATAGTTAACTTAAATTTTTTATTATTTGATGTTTTATTGCTAAAAAAGGGGGGAGGGAGGTATTGTGAACTTTTTTAGATCAATCGTGCTGAAATTGGAGGTGTACATAAGACTGAATTCAGCTCATTATAAAAAATGTTGTGTCATGTACAATAACACCAAACTCAGCTCATTATAAAAAATGCTTTTATGTACAGTATGATATGATTAAAAAGGAAAATGATTGCATTTTATTTTTAGGTATAATCAAGGTTTTACCCTGCATGGTAATTATGACGACAGTTATAATGGAAGACGTGAGAGTCAAACAGAATTTTATCTTCATGAACCACAATCCTCATCTGGACGTCGAACATGGGGACAACCTTTTACTCCAGATCCAACAACATGGGGAAGGTACGTATTAAGAATTTATTTATTCTTCTTTCTTATTCATTTTATGTAATACAAATTAGAATATATGGTAGTTGTAAGCAAAGTAAGTAATGTTTAAAAACGTGCTATGATATATGATTTAAGTATTTACTGATCAGTAAGTTATTCTTTGGGAGTAGGATTGCTCAGTGGGTAGGGAACTAACTTCAAAAGCTTAAGGTCCTGGTTTTGAATCCAGCTGATAGCAGGAAATTATTTATTCTGTTTCATCGGCCATGGATCAATCCTGGGGTTGCGAGACCCTCCCGGGGTATATCCATATTAATAATAATAGTAAGGCTGAGTAAACCCTAAATAGTGTAATCGATGTCTACATTCTTCCATCCAACAGGTAACACCAGGTCTAAACCCAACCCCGCCAAATCAGCCTTAACAGATTAAGCCGCCAAACAGATTGTGTTAAGGCTGATTTGGCGGGGTTGGGTTTAGACCTGGTGTTACCTGTTGGCACCTGCTGGATGGAAGATTGTAGACATCGATTACACTATTTAGGGTTTACTCAGCCTTACTATTATTATTAATATGGATATACCCCGGGAGGGTCTCGCAACCCCACGATTGATCCATGGCCGATGAAACAGAATAAATAATTTCCTGCTATCAGCTGGATTCAAAACCAGGACCTTAAGCTTTTTTTCCAATGTTTACTTTCTATGGAATCAAAATTTTTATTCAGTATCATTAATTCAGAGCCGTTTCTTGCAGCACATTTCTTAGTCTCCGGCTTTTAATTTTTTCAATATTAAGTTAAAAAATGCCTCTTAGTGCTAAGGATGTTACGCGTTACGCGTGGTGTGGCACTTATTGATGATGGACGTTCCATTAGATATGCAGCTAATGCAGGCGTTTACGGGAAACTGGTTCTTACAATAGAAGGCCCGGTTCTGGACGCCCTAGGGTAACAGAATCACGGGATGACCGGTTTTTGGCTTTCCCAACAATCTTTGTTTTGGTCTACTCCTCAGACACCTGCAAGTCGGCACAGCACATATTAAGTTTCTTTATTTTACATGCCCATTTTATTTGCCTTAACTTAATCATCTCAATTATAATAACCAGGTACATTTCCCACAATTTCTCGTTTTGTATCTGCCTAAATTCTCTGGTTGAATCATCCTTCTTTGTCCCGAATATTCTGCGCAATACTGTATTTTCAAAAACCTTAATATGTTGCTCATACCTTAATGTAAGCTGTCACGTTTCGCATCTATAAAGGACCGTAGCAGGAAGGATAATGGTTTTGTAAATTCTAATTTTTATGTTTCGGGACAGGAGGTGCAAGTTAAATATTTTTGACAAGGAAAAATAGCAAGCATTTCCTGCCTTTAACTTAACCTTCATTTTTTCTTCAATTTCGTTTTTTCCAGTTATCATAGATGCTAGATACCTAAAATTCTCAACGTGTTCACATTCCCTTCTATACCAAAATTATCGCTGTTTTTGTAGCTAATCATATATTTTGTCTTATCCATATTTATTTCAAGAATGTTGTTTTATTTAGTTTCATTGTTTCCGTGTCTTCGCTTAACAATTCCAAATCATCAGCATACTCTTACGTTGTTTTCGATTCTATGAGTTTCTCTGTCTGTTATTTTATTTTTAAGATACTTCCATTTTATATTTCTGAACAATTCAGTAGTTTCATTCTTTAAGGCTCGGAAATACTCAAGATTGTTTTCGATAGGATTATTTAGAGCTTTTCATTTTTCATAAATGTTTAAACAATATTCATTAAACGACAGTTTGTTCTTTATAATTTCATATTTTTCCAAGACACAAGTGACCGAACTCTTTAATATTATTTCTGATCCGTACCCATCACATATCTATATCATCACAGTCCTTGCCAGAAAGTTTTAAAGCTTCAAACCTATTCTTCACTTAAGGCATGAATTGAGTTCTAATTAATGGATTTTTTAATTTTTTCCAAATTAAAATTCTCATCGAAACGGTTTTCTTTCCTCTTTTTAATATTAAGTTTTTGTCAAAGTTTCGGGATTACTAATTCATGATCTGACCCACATTCTGCCCTAGTATAAGACCTTACATTAATTATACTATTTTGTCACCTATGTTTTACCAAGACGTGATTAATTTTATTTTGCGAACCCAGTGATGTCTAGGTATATTTGTTAATATCCTTATGTTTAAATATAGTACTTTTAATTATTGGGTTTTTGAGATTGCAAAATTTATTAGCTGAATTCCATTATCATTACTATAATTGTGAAGATATGGCTGACCGTGATTATAATATGAGGAGTTGGTCGGGTAGGGGTGAGTACTTGTAAACCTTCAGTGCTCGAACCATGCCCTGATGATGACGACCCACATGTTTGGGTTGAAACATCGGCACAAATCAAAAATTTTTATAATGACTGCGTCCTGAATACTTATCACCCATATATGTAGAACAGTCGACTAGTTTCCTTCAATAAATATATATATATATATACACTGACAGGCAAAAAATTCCACCCATTTGATTTTTCCATATTTTCATCTAAAAATATTTCTGTAAATTTGTATTTGTATATAATACATGGTATTTGTAGATAATACTTAGTATTTCTGGAATTTTATAATCTTTTTTACCTTTAATAATGAAAATGTGATTGGGTAAGAAAGATTAGAGAAAAACGAACCATTATTATTCTAAAAGAAATTAATTACATCATCGTTTAGTAGCACGTGTTTCCTCCTCTTGCCTTCACTACTTCTTGAAGACGCCTCGGCATACTTTCCACCAGTCTGGAAATGTCCCTTTGCTGGAGGATAGCCCATTCCTCCCGAAGAGCCCTTTCAAGGTCCTGCAGTGTATCAGGAAGTGTTGCACGTGCTCTTATTCGTCTTCCGAGGTTATCCCATAAATGCTCAATGGGGTTCAAATCTGGAGAACGTGCTGGCCAGGCTAAAACCTCAATATTGTTCTGTTGAAGGAACGTCTGCACTATGCGGGTGACATGTGGGCGTGCATTAGAATAGAACGATCGTTGATTTAGTTGAGGATAGGCAACACTTGAGATTCCAAAATCTCATCTACATAGCGAATGGCCGTCAAAGACCCTCCACGAACAACAACCAATTCTGTGCGGCGCTCCATTGAAATTCCAGCCCACACCATTAAGGAACCACGTTGGAAAGGTTGGCTCTAAGAAAAATTACAGGCTGCATATCTTACGTTTCTTCTTCTCCACACCCTTTCACGCCCGTCTGGAGATCAATGAGCGAATCTTGACTCATCTGTAAAAAGTACAGTACTCCATTCGTCCATAGTCCAATGGCTGTGTTCTCGAGCAAAAGCCAGCTCTGTTACTCTGTGAGTTCTGGTCATCTTACTTGATGAAACGCCATTAATCCATACTCATTTAATCTTCTCCGAGCTGTACGTTCAGAAATTTGCACACTTCGAGCTGATGAATCGCTTGAACAACGGTAAGGTGCCGGTTTCGTAAAATTCTCAAAGCCAAAAACCGGTCATCCCGTGATTCTGTTACCCTAGGGCGTCCAGAACCGGGCCTTCTATTGTAAGAACCAGTTTCCCGTAAACGCCTGCATTAGCTGCATATCTAATGGAACGTCCATCATCAATAAGTGCCACACCACGCGTAACATCCTTAGCACTTAGAGGCATTTTTTAACTCAATATTGAAAAAATTAAAAGCCGGAGACTAAGAAATGTGCTGCAAGAAACGGCTCTGAACTAATGATACTGAATAAACATTTTGATTCCATAGAAAGTAAACATTGGAATCTAGAATCATTTCATTGAATTAAGGATTAAGGGTTATTGTCCTCTATATTAACATTCCTAATTGAAAACAAACAAAAAGATTACCTATTTATTCTTTAAAAACAATAGACCAATCTAAAGCAGAAATATTTTTAGATGAAAACATGAAAAAATCAAGTGGGTGGAAATTTTTGCCTGTCAGTGTATATAATATAAGCTTTCTTTACCTATATAATAATACATACACCTATAGGAAAAACTTCTTCCCTTCCCATTTTGGCATTATAACTAAAATTATTTTCATGCAGTTTCACTGAAGTTAATCATAAAATTCACATTTGGCTTCTTCATCACTGTCTTTAGTCGGACAGTGTATGCTTATCAATGTGATTTTAAACCAACACTTCTGGAGTATGACCACCGAAATCCTATCTAATTGTATGCTCCTTTAAGCGGATAGAATTCTATTCCTAATAAGAAAACCAGTACCTAAACAATGATTTCCGTTTCCACTGTACCAAATAGTGTACTTACCATCCTTAATGGATCCCTCCCCTGGCCAGTGGACCTCTTGCAATGCCATGATATCTAAATTATGCTCATCAACCTCATTCACGACCGATTTTAAACCACCTACTCTATTAGATTTCTTATGTTCTACGTCCCTTCTGGAGAATTTCCGGGAACGTCTGGAGAATTTCCACTGACCATCTCCACATCTGCTGCCCATGGGACGCTTCCGTATGCGGTAATGAGTCCACGGGAGGTCAGGGCATACTCAGCCTCTATAAAATGGGTACTATTAAATAAATAATTAATTATTGAGGGGGGAAACCTGGTGGTTGAGCATGATCTCTTTGCACAACTGTGAGACCAAGAATCAGTACTTCTATAAGGAAGTACTTTATAAATAGTACTGAATACAAGACCCTTCATGGGTTGTAGTGGTACTGGTAAAAAAATTTATTTATTTCTAACATGACACGAGAAAGTATTTTTAACCCTTGAATCATATGTTCTTACTTACAATTAATCTTGATATAAAGAAGTTAAAAATAATTAAGAAATAAATTACATTGTTGTAACTAATGAAATGATAGTTGTCCACGGACATTAAGTTACTAATTAAGAAAAGTCCATGTTCTTCATCCGATTTTCTTCTCCTGATACAAGTTATTTAATTTATTAAGTTCTCAATGATCGACCTTGGTATAATATTGTGGAAAAAGATGGTCTGGGGTGGTAGTCATAAAAACTATTTCAAGTTGTTTTTTTTAGAATTTCCACCCATTGTGATAATAATAATGGAACATTGTGATCGACCAAAAAATTCAAAAACTTAACCCCCTCTCAAAATTTGAGGTTTTACGTTTCAGGATACGTAGAATTCGAGAATTGAATATACATTTTTTTATCCATCCGTCGTCCGTGTATTTTCTCTGAAACTACTGGACCAATTTTTTTAAAATGTGGATATAAAATTAGATGTCACCCGAGGATGATTCTCCTTCATTGACATTACTATTGCCTTTTGTTTTCAAAATGGCGGCCGAATTTATTTAGCATATTACTAATGAATAAAAAAAAAGTTTAGTCCAATAATTGGAATCACCTTTTATTTATTTTTCTTTGTAACTAGGAATGTAGTGTTACTTTAGATGTATACTTGCTTGTAAATAATAAACCATTGTGAAATAATTTGAAGCAATTTTTTTTAAATGATCTTGAGCTAGGAATCTTTTTAGATTGCTCTATTTTCTTATGTAAATTATTACATAATTTATTTTTGATCGAACTAAGCTTGTACAATAACTAACTACATGTAAAACTTCATTGACCAATTTGACTTTCTTGATGTTTTTTAAATTTGTGTATATTTTTTAGACGGGAACCCGTTTCACTGGATAGCTCTCCAAAACAAAATGGTGGAGAATTACCAATTCCACCGCCACGTCTTAACCATGCTCCTCTTCCAACACCACCAGTTGATGATATGGAACCTCAGAGTATATCATTTATTGGTTTGTAGTTTATTTATTATTGGGAAGCATTATAGTTAATATTATTTAGTTTTTATGATTGTAAAATTTATTTTTCAGGTTCAGGTGAAGATAGTGAACAATTAAGCAGTGGATTGAGCAAATTAAATATTACTAGCGGCAGTCGAACATATCGAATACCCTCACCAACTCGAACAGCCCGAAATTCTTTTCAGAAAAATGTCAATGAAAAACAAGAACAAGGATTTTATATTTCTTTTGACGAGGAATCTGCTCCCAAAAGGCCTAAACCTCCTCTCCGTGCAAAAAGAGGCTCTCCTAAGAAGGTATGTTTAAATGTTCCTATTATTATTTGAAATGATCACATGTCTGGTTATGAACAGAGTATATTTTTGCTCAAAATCGTTAACTTTATTAACTAAAGATAGTTGATATAAGTAAAATATTCCCTAATAAACTGGCAAAAAATAAAAAAAGCTTAAAATAAATTAAGTATTTTTTTATTTAGATTGATAATTATGTTACTGTTAAATTAAAGGTACCAAATAATTTATTAGAATATTGATTTAGTTGAAACTTTATAAAACAAAGTTTAAAAATCTGTTATGTCCACTTACAGGAATTACCTACCAATTTCAGAAAAGTTTTTATATCTTTAAATATGTTCTTTAAAAAACAAAACAAAAAAACAGTTGAATTAGATTTATTTTCCTAAAAACTGGTCAAAGAAAAAATTTGGGTACGATTGCTTTGATAAACTTAATCAATTTCAATTAGCTTGTAGAAGATCGGCATAAAAAATTCAATACACTCTCACATTGCAATTTTTTTGGCAATAGCCCAATTTTGTCAGATAATAATTTCTATTAAAAACAAATGGGAAAGTGAAACTTCATGATTTGTTTGTTTTCACTTACTTTTTCTTTCTTCTCTCTCTTTCACTCCTTTCTGACACTGAGCTCCTAATGTTAAATACAAAATTAAGATAGCTGTAACTTTGTTAATAGTTGTCTTAAATGAACAATTTTTATTTAGTTTTGTAGGGAATTTCATTACCTTCCAAAAAAACAGGCTAAAATGTTACAGCACTACAGTTCATAGAAAAATATGTTTTTCACTTATTTCTCTGCCATTATTGTGCAAGGAACACCCATTTGTGTCACAGGTATCAGTAGTCAAAATCCTACAAAATAAAAAAAGAAGCAACAAAATCGGTCTACTAGTTCCCAGAATAATTCTGGCACAGGCAGACCAATAGCTGAAAATTTGTTTTTCGGACTCAGGAAGCTCTGGAACGTTAAATCCGTCAAAAACCGTCAATCAGAAATTTTATTCGATTGCAATACTTTCCTTACCTAGTAAAGGTAGGAAAGTAAAAATCAGATGTGTGTGTGCTTCATTCAACTTTTATTTATTGCTATTCTTAAATAATTATTTGGGCCTTGAATAAGTTCTTGCTGTTTCCTAACGGATTTCTAAATTTTGAGTTTTGTGTCTATTAAAGAAAGCACATTTGTGGAATGTTCTGTTTTATTCAAACGAAAACTACAATTGAAGTACGCAGAGTGTTCTTGTTGAGGACTTATGGTGAGCATGCTCTGTTGGAAACGTTTTTAGAGATTGGTTTTAGCACTGTGTAACTTATTATAAGCTGCTCAAATCAAATGAAACTATCACGGGAGATTGTTATTGATTACAACTAATGACTTTGTGTTGAGCTCTAAAGCAAAAATGGCTGCTATACAAGCAAAAACACGACCACTTGATTACGTGTCAATGATCCATATATTGTGAAACCTACTTAGCTTAATCGTCTAAATGGAAAATCCTGTTCCACCCACCATTTTCACCACATATAGACTCTTTCAATTATCATTTGTTTCATTCAATGGCATATGGCCTAGCTGAGCATTTAGATCCATTCTTATGAATGTATAACAAAAATAGGCAGATTCTTAGCCTTAAAAGACAAAACTAGTAGGTTTTAGGCATAGTATTTATATGCTGCAAGAAAGATGGGAGAAAGCAGTGGCTGGTGATGGTAATTACTTTGGGTGACATGTTTTTTTATCACTTACTTAATATAATACATAAGTTTCCAAAAAAAAACAGCGTGAACTTTTTCAAGACCTTCATTAATATCTGCTGAAATGTATCTAGTTGTAAGAAGCATTTAGCAAAACGAACTAATCCAAATTACACATGTTTGAAGTAACCTCAAGTCAAAGTTAATTAGTCTTTTAAATAAGTATATCAATGATAGGTATCGAAAACCTTGTATTCTCTCCCCTCCCTCCCCCCCCCCATCAGTCTATTCAAACAACAAAACTCTAGTCTCTGAACTCTGAGAACATGGAAGAATTCACGTTTCATAGGCTCCTAACTCAACCATATTCAGTCTATGATGCAATGATTAAAACCTTCCTTCTCACTGGGAAAAATTTAATTCTGAAGCTGATTATATTTACCGTTTGTTTTTTCAATAAGTGAATTTTTAAAAATAAAATTCTTTTATATTTGATTCATTTATCCTTCTATTTTGCTCTGATGAAGACGTACAATATGGGCTGAAATGTCAGGATTCCACTGCAAAATTTGACAAATTTGAGTTACGAGCTTTTCATTGTATAGAAGTTTTATTTTTTAGTTAAGGATACAATTTATATTTGTTCAATTTTATTTTATAAACTTAAAACAAGAGATTGTTCTTTTCTGTTGAAAGTTGTAAAGATTTAATTTATTGAAAACCACTTCTCTAACTTATTTTTGCTATTTTCTAGATTGGTTCCCTTCTACTAAATGCTCTCCGTTAATATTTGATTAAATTAATTTATTATTTGGGCTAAAGTTTTTAAACTGAAGCTAATAAAGATCTTTACTATTACCATATGTTTTCTCATTTCTTAAACATTAATTTAAATATTTTCAGAGACATTCAAAATTTTCTCGCTTAAGTACAATAAAATATGATGATTTTTAAATGATGACAGAACAACGATTGATACATTACTTATTTTGAGTTTATCAAGCTTTACAATAATGTAAAAGTTTCCAATTAATTTGGAAATTTCATTGAAGCGCTATAAAAATATTTGATTTCCGTTAAGTAATATTGGTTTCTAGTTATTATTAATAATTTTTTTATCACTTTCCATTATTTTTTGTGACTACATTTTAGGACATTAATGTTTCTAAATTCTGTAGCTGGCCAATGTTATATTGTGCATATATATTACTACTTTTATTTCTGAAAATCTATTTTCAACATGGGAAAATGTTTCTGCTTTAGTTAATTATCTAATTCTTTCATAGTTTTTGTTTCACTTTATTTTATTACTATTTCAAATAAAACAAATTAAAGGTACTCTAGATGAAGCCGATTTGAAAAATCGGCATTTCAGCTCTGTCAAGACTATTTCAACGAGGATAAGATCTGCCTAATATTATTAAAAACCATTCAATCGTACATAAACCTGTTTACTGGGTATGACAAAATATCTCTTTCTTTTATAATATGTTATAAAATATTTTGTCGAAATAAATAAAACCAATAAATTAAAAATTATTTATTTTTATTACTTGGAGTGTTATAATATTACTTATAATTATGAAGAAAAAAGTCCTTATTGTGAAATGAGTTGAACAAAATTGTATTCCCCGGTTAATAGGTTAATGTTAGGTGTTCAATCAGAATTGTTCTAGACATTGAGAAAATCGTAGAAATTTGTAAACTCGATTATATAAAGTGGCACTTCCAGTAAATCAATTACAAAAAAGGAATTGCAACATCCCAGGCATAAGTTTTTTGTAACTGCTTTTTGTTTTTGAGCTAGACTGTTAGGCTGACATAAGGGTATGCTTTTACGGGCTTGGATATTTGGGCTCAGAGGACCTCTTTGCCATGTGAAAGTTGTCTGATGCATCCACCAGATTGTTTTTATGATTCTATTTTTATTATGATTTAAAATTGTGGATTGATGGTCGACTAGTGAATAATTGAAAAGAATAGTTGGGGTGATCAGGAAAAAAAATTTTTTTTTTTTACTGGTCACCCCAACCATTCTTTTCTTCTATTATGATTTAATTTTTAATTTATCCATGAGTATATAAAGCTGAAGAGTAACTTCTATTTTATCTATTTTTTTAGTAATATTTTTTAAAACTTTTATATGTTTTTAGGAACGTAATTTGACCCAGACAGTTGAACCTAAATTACTGAGTACTGCTGTAGAAACTATAAATTCAGTTGATGAAACTCCTTTGCGGCCTCGAGTTGTTCATTCTCCACCAGGAAGAGAAGAAAGAGTTCCAGCTCCCCATGAAGGGGCAATAGTAATAGGTTCTCACCCTGATCCGGTAATATTGTTTTGTAGTATTGTCTTTAAATTTGTTTAAGATTCAAATTTACAAGATATCAATAATTATAAAACTTGAAAGCATTGTATGATTGTTTTTTTCTTTTTTCTCTCTCCTCAATTGGGTATATCAATTGAACTCTTGTTGGAAAATGAGTAAAGAACAATTTTAAATAAGATCATTAGATAAAACTTTTTTCTGCCTTATTAAGACTTCTGTATCTTTTTTTTTCTCATGTTTATTTTTAATCAAATCCGAACCACTCGTTTTAGAGATTTTGAGAATAATGAAATAGAAAGAATTTTAATGTCTGAGCTGAGAAGAGGGGAATACGTGATTTCCAGAACTTGGTTCGATTCAGAGATGGGCAAAATCAGAATCAATGATCATATGATTACAACTGAAAATAAAACTTAATGACCAAAGAAATTTTATACTTGATAAAATACAGAAAAAATGTGACACAATTAATTGGAAACCTGATCACAGTTTTAATCAAGTCACTGTTGTCGTAATTGTTGATTATGATTATACCAGTTTATGGTTTGATTGCATCTACTTGAGCATGATAAGAGAGGAAAGATTGAAACCAACGTATAGAACTTATATAAACTTGGATTATTATACATTATAACTTAGATGGGAAATATACTGGCAAAGTATCATTAGGAAATAAATTGACAGAACCAGCAACCCATCAAATTTGGACTCATTGTTTATGCTGTATTGATATTTTTCTAGTCTAAGGAGAAGGAAGTATAATAATAGCTCCATCATGATAAGAAACCTGATCTTCCCAGTTTCAAAATGACCTCTATTGGTTTTTATTGCATATTTGTGCAGAAAAATATGGCTGTCTAATATAGTGATACATACCGTGGATAATTGACTGCAAAATTTTATTTATTTGATGAAAAAATATCATTATTATATTGTTTTTGCTCTTCTGGTACTACCACTAGAGATACATTCATAATTTTATCTACAGTTGGCACTATACTTACGAAGATTTTTTGCCACATGGGTGGTATTTACAGAGATTAATTTCAACCTTACATTGCAATGAATCATGGTTTCCATGTTGCAGAAATAGGCAACTTGCAGCTTGATAACCAATCTCTTAGTGGTCAATTAAGCCCTGTACTTCCATTAGATTTAAAGGCTTGACTTCAGGACAAGGAATCACTCCAGGTCTCTGGATTAGGGAGTTGTTCAGGGTCAGCAGGTTCATGAGGATCTATAATTGTTCCACTGAAGCAAACCCCTCGATGGTTAATTGATATCTTGTAAAACCACAATGCAATTCTTGATGAAGGTATTCAGGGTAGAGTCAGTCATAACTCTAATGTCTAGTTGGTGTGAGTTTCCTTTTGTAAGCTAACAGTTCTTGGTTATCTCTTAATGATATCCAAATTTCTTATCTCATGTTAACATCTCTGTTTATTGGATAAACTTAGTCATGATGTAGCCTCTCACCCTCTGTGTTCAAAGAAATATATTAATCTTTGATCTCTTTTATGGAGTCGTTGATTTATGAATGTTATTTCCTCTGTGATATAATAATTTTGATTTTTGATTATATCTATGCCTTAAAATAATTTGTAGATATATTTTTTAAAAACAATGTTACATGAATATCAAATGATTAATAAAATTACTATTCATTATAGATAAAGAAAAATTAAATTAAATTTGTTTTATATTTAATAATTTCTTTGTTAAAATCTGCAGAGAGATATTTCCTAATTTTGTTGTAAGGTTTTTTTTTTTTTTCAGATAATATTTTTTCATTTAATTTTCATTCATTTTTGCGGTTATTTTAAAGAAAATTTTATAGTTTTATCACTTTTTATTGGATTTAATTCTAAATATTTTTTAAGTTTTATAGGATAAATCCTGGCATATTTTATAGGATAGATAGTAAATGATTTTTGTAAGATTAATTACAAAATTATTTATTTACAAATTATTTTATTGTCAATTAATTTATTTTATTTAATGGTGTTATTTGCTGTATTTAAACAAATGTTTGTTTTGGTTTTATGTTCTTATTTTTATTGTATTTTTCAGAATGAATTAGATGAAATGGAGAAGAAGAAAGAACGTATTTTAATGATGTCATTACAAAGGCGACAAGCTGCTGAAGAGGCACGGAATCTTAAAGAAGCTGAAGCAGCTAGAAGAAGAGATCTAGAAAAGGCAAAAGAAGAGGAAAAGATTAGGAAAAAGGAAGAGGAAAAAAGAAGAAGGGCTACCATATTAGAACGTCATAAGGTTAAGAAAGCCATTGAGGAAGCTGAAAGAGAGGTGTGTTTCTGCTTCTAATAATTTGATATTCAATCCATTTAGATCTATAAGAGTTTCTCTAAAACTTAATGTTCAATTTGATAAAATAAATACATAGATGCAAATGCCTTAGCTATCAAGGGTTTTTCATTGTTTTAATTGTTGATATCCAGTCATCCTATAGCATTCCAGGTATTTTTTTCAATTTTCTCTTTCCTCCTCCATCTTAACTACATAACTATTTTTTTGTTGGAATTTTATCCTAGATTGTCATCTAAAGCTGGTTTTCCTAATATATAATATTATTTCTGATATTGTGTAAGATTTTTTGTCACCAACTTTTGGCAATACAGATAATTATTTATTGTTTAGGGAAAACAAGTGGATAAGGATCTTCTGAATTCATTGAAAGCTTCATTACCAGCTGCTAATAATTCTTCTGCTCCTAAATTAAGGCAAAAGGGAAGTGGTGGAGGTAGACCGAGACCAAAGACAATTCATATTGATTCAGGAGCTGATGATACTGGAATGATGACACCTTCCAGGGGAAAGAAAGGATCGTCATCCAATCTTTCTGGTATAGTTAATTTTAATTTTATCTTTAGAATATTGATTAATAAATTATTTAAAGATTACTTTTGTAGCACCGAATAATTGAAAGACTTTCTATTGTAAAAATATTTAAAAAAATGTATTCATATACATGTCATGCTAATTTTGATACTAAAAATATGAAATATCTTTTATATTATTGTTAATAATATAATGTATAAAAGTTAGTTTTTAGTGTTAGAAATAAACAGTAAATCACTCTTTGTTAATGAATATTCACCATTAGATTTGGTTAAAGAAGATCCTAGATTTTCTATGCAAATAATTATGAAACCATCAACATTCTTAAAATGTGATAATTTTTCAACTTATTATTATTTACCAATACATATCTTGTTTTAAAAATCAGTAGAACATTATTTAGTCTGATTTTAAATTACAAAAAAGAAGTTCTAGTGAACTAAAGCCATTCTAAAATTTCACCATTTATTTTTAGATTAAATTATCTCATTATCTTTTAGATTCCCTTTAGTCCCTAAGAATTTAATAATATAATCTGATTACTATAATTTTATGTGCTAGACATTGTATTGAACGTTCCAATTAATGATAAAGTCAGCTGTTTTATCAATGAACTGTATAATGCAGTATAAAAAAAAATATATATATATATTAAAAGTTCTAAATAAGATACTTTAATGTTAATTTAATTTGAGTTTATCAGGCTAATATTAACTAATATATTATATTTTCTCATTCACTCATGTCCATGCATGCATTCATAAATAAATACATTTATTTGCATTTTTTTTTTTTTTTTTTTTTTGGTTTGTTTGTATTTCATTAAAAAGTAATTTTTCAGCATGGTACCTTTTTTCTTAATTGCTTTAAATACATGAAATTATTATTTTTGCTGGATTAGTTTTAATTTAATATTTTTGTTGATTTAAAAGTAATCTGTTATTTTATGCATTGTTCAATGTCCTTTATTGCTTAAGTAAATGTAGTGAATGTTGTGACATGTGGGTTGAAATAGCACTTAACTCCACAATGAGAAGGGACTACTACAGAGGTTCTCAGGACTGTCTAACTGAAACCAGAAAGCCTCGTCACTTCCCTGGTAAATATTAATTTATATTATAAAATTTTAATTTAACCTAAACTTAGCTCCGTTCAGCTGCAAATGAAGGTGGAGGTTACATATAAGTTTACAATTTTGTTAATGATTATGACAACGTAATTTTACTAAATAAACTCCTCTTCGTAAGTAATCCCTTTGAAATTAATAATAAAACTAATCATGGGTTGAATAAGAGTAATTTATATTTATTTTGCTGATAATCTTTTGATTCCCCTCACCTATATGATTCCAATTCAATCATCAGACACCTATATTTCTTTTAATGTATTTCAGCATTATCATTGTATTCTTTCTTGAAGGGAATCAAGAAAAAAAAATATTTTGTGGGACTCAAATCTCAAAAATCATACCAAATGAGAGAATGATGCATATATTGTTGTTGTTCTAATGAGAAGTTAAATTAAGTTATTAACAAAATTAAAATTGATTAAATATGTAAACTTATATATTTGCCATTTCTATGCTGTATCTAGGTAAGTATTGAATAGTGCTTATCCCTCCTTATGCCCTTGGGTTTGTATAGATTTTTTATTTATTGGATTTATGTAAATATTTATTTATACTCCAGCTTCCTCAAAATGTCTTTTGGTCTAACTGGTAAGTAAAGTAGCACATACCTAGTAGCATGATGGATATTTAAACACCTGTTCGGGTTAATTAGTGTATATTAAAAAACATATAATTTGAACTACACTATTATTTATATACTTCAAATTTCATTAAATCAAAGAAAACATGGTGATAAAATGAAATGTCGTTATTTTTCAACAAAAAAATTCTTTTATGGTTATTAACTGTAGATTTCAGATCAAAAGCCTTAAATCTATCAAATAGCCAATATTGAGAAGCTAAGTGCTTTTGTTCTGGAATCTTTCAATAATAGTATAATTTCTAATAAATAATATATGGGATGCATGTGCAAATCTCACTCTACTGGCTTCCTAGCATTATTAGTTTATATATATATTTTACATTAATTTATTTATAGAAATATAAGTTAATACAGTAAATTTTGCTTGTCAATTTTTTTTTTATACTTTAATATATTTATAGAACCTAATTAATTTATTTATTTTGCAATCATTGCATCTTATTTTGTTTATATATTTTATTCTTGCCTTTGAGATATCTTCTACTCTCCCCTTCATTAATTATATTACATTTATTTTTTAATATTGCATGGAGCATAGAACATATTTTAAGTATTCACCACTTTCAAAAGATGGAAGAAAATGATATTCGTATAGTATAAGGTTGATATTTAACTTTATTTAGTTTTATCCCTTTCACACTAAAGATGCACATTCTGTTTATATCCACTATCCCTGTTTAGTTTAGTAGGTGAGTTTGAAATATGATTAATCAATCATCTTACTCTTAGTAAAATTACTTGGTTTGAGCTGGTGGTTCATAATTTTTCTTGAATCTTTACAAACTTTTTACTGCCATTCTGCTTAGTTAAAAAAAACATAATAATCCATAAAACCTGTTTTACTTTGAATCTTTTTCCTTATTTATAAGCAAAAAAGTGTTTTGAAATCAAATATATACAGACTGCAATTTTTAAAAAGCTATACGATGTCCTCTGAAAAATGTATTTCTTTATACTTTTTAGAATTCATTGCTAAAGAGAAATTCTTATTAATTTTAACAGCCACAATCCGCTTAAAGGTAGTTGACAAATATTTAAAAATTTTTATATGTATGAATGTCCGAACAATTTCTAGGTATGTACTAATATATTCTATAACTGGACATGCTCTCAAATTTAGTTTTAAAAATTGTATTGAATGTAATGAAAAACATGGAAAAAAAGAAAGAAATATTTTCTGGTTATTTGTTTTGAAAAATATCTCACACCAAAATAAATAAAAAAATATTTACATTAAATACTAAATCTTCGTTTTCATTGTTTTAAAATGTTAATTTTGTCTATCTATTTAAAAAATAAACATTTTTATTATTCTTCTACCTGTATACAACTATCGTTTATTTTCGCTCTGATCTAAATTACTAAACAAACACAACACCATTAAATGAACTTAAGTTTAAAATTAAATAAAAGGTGGGGTCAATGGGTAGCAATATAAGACGGCCTCAAGAAAAGACAAAACAATTTTATTTACATGTTCCACTAATATTACTGTCTGTTAGTAATAAAATATAATATTTTCAATATCTAACTCTCTAATTCTTTTTAAATGTCATTATAATTTCATAAAGAAAAATTGAATCTGAGAATATTTGGTTGAATCTTTATGACTTGATCTGTATCAGTTATTCTTAAAATAATTTTTTTAATTAATGAAAAAATATGTATTTTTTTTATTAGAGAATGTGAAGAAGTATCGATGGTGTTTAAAATATCATTTTCAGTGTTGTATTATAATAAAAATAAAATTGATGTTTATTATTTCATAAGAACTATTGCAAAATGAATATTTATAATTGATAAACGTTACATATGTATAGTTATTACTTATAAACATATAATTATATTTTGTTTTTAAATTAAAATAATGATTAAATGTAGTAATATAAACAGTAGTCATAATCTAAAATTTTGGATTTCAAAAAGTCTTAATCATTTTTAAAAGTTAATTTATTTTCAGTTTCAGAAATTTTCAGGTTTAAAAATTTCCAGTTAAAAAAAAAACCGGATTTTTCGTGGAAATTTTCTAATTTTGACGTCATAAATAGCACATGAAAATATAAGGGTACTAAATATCAAATTAATCCAACGTAATTTACAAATTCTAGGCCCATGTCCATGAAAACCCGTATTATGTCCCACTATGGGCGGGGCGAGGTGGTAGAGGCAAGTATGCAAGACCAGCACAACACAGATGCACTCTGAAAACTCCAGCCGGCTGGTTCCCAAGATTCAAGTGCATCTTGCATCCAGGTTCCAAGACACATTTGCATATTTGGTTTGAAAGCTCTCTTTCTATTACACAGTCTAGTGTTTAAGATGCATACATCTTGCGTCTTGCATCTTCAGTGTGAAAGGGGCCTTAAATTCATATCGATCTTCAATAAGAACCAAATTTGCATTCCAAAGAAAAGTGAGATTTAAAAGTGTAATGTTAAACCTAAATTTTATTTTAAGATGAAAACCCTTTGAAAATTGGTATTCTTGAAGAGAAAATAAAAACGTCTGAAATATTATGAAAGCACAAAACTTATTGAAGCTCAATTTTGAATAAGATGTAAAATTTGAATAATGTAAAAACTATTTTTGTATGCATTAAAGATTTAAAGGAACTCATTTTCCATAATTGCTTGTTGTTTTTTTTAAAACTATGATTCTATCTAATCATCTAATCAACAATTCATCAAATCGGAGTGATCTTTATGATTTTAATTATAATCTTTTGCACAATTTTACTTTAAATAGTTCTATAGTACCTGTCCTATTTTTTAGAATAATTACCTGCAAATATGCAAACTTAAAACACTTATAGACTGTTGCATGGTGATGTATGTTAATTTAAATATTGAATTGATCAGTTAATTTAATTGACTGATTAAAGTAGATTAAACTTTAATCAAAAGGTACCTGTGAAATATATTTTTATTTTTAATATGCTCTACAGTCCTTAATGGACCTGGGTGTCAGAAACAAGCTTCCGCCCAGCTTCCCTATCGGCAGCTATTCTTCTCCATCTTCTGATACCCATGCGGCTGAGGTCCTCCTCCACGTTGTTGAGTCTCTTTCCCTAAGACGTGCTCCTCCTGGGCGGTTATAGAGAAGTTTCTTAGGCAACCTATTCTCCTCCATTCTACATGGCCTAGCCATCTGAGCTGGCTCCTTTTGACAGTGGCTACAATATCATAATTTTTAAACAGCTCATAGAGCTCGTCATTTTTCAGTATTTGCCACTGGTCATTTATTTTCTTTGGACCGTATGTTTTCCTTAGAGGACTTTTCTCTCCCACATTATCAGCAACCTCTCACTTTCCTGTGTCAGAACCCACGTTTCACACCCGTAGGTAACGACTGGCCTTATAATGGTTTTATAAATTGTTACTTTTGTATTCCAGCTCAGTTCCTTGGATTTCAGTATTTTTGCGAGGGCAAAAAAACACTTATTGCCAGCTGTAATTCTGGTCTTTATTTCGCCCAGCATTTTGTTCTGGTCAGTGACTATTACTCTGAGGTATTTGAATTCCGTTCCCATTGGAAAGAGGTGCTGATTAATTTGAACACATTCATGCATAGCTGCATTATTCCTTTGAGGACTTCATGTAAAGACTTTTCCCTTCGTTTATCCTCAGGCCAAGTTGCATTGCTGTCTCATCGAATTCTTCGATATATCCCGCAAGGACCAACAATGTGAATATCGTCCGCGAGGATTGGTCCTTATTGCTCTAACAACCCGCTCCAGGGCTAGATTAAAGAGGACTGGTGATATAGGGTCTCCCTGCTTCAAGCCCTGTTTTGCCTGAATTCTGTTTGAGAGGACGTTTTGAATCTTGAACTTGGTATCTCTTAGCAAATGGTATCTCTGTCAAGGCAATCAATTTTTCAGGAATTCCCAGCATCCTCATAGCTTTCTGTCTATAGAATCATACGCCTGATTGAAATCTATAAAGACATGGTGCAGATCCACGTTATGCTCGTATGTTTTCTCTAGCATTTGTCTTACAGCAAAGATGTGATCCACTGTTGACCTATTTTTTCTGAAACCACATTGATAGTCTCCGTAAATTCTTTCTCCCCATGACACTAGTCTCTTACTAATAGCAATGGAAAGGACTTTATATACAGTTGGCACTAGTGCTATTCCTCTGTAGTTATCGCAGTTCAACTTGTTCCCCTTTTTAAAAATAGGACATAGAACTGCAGTGTTCCATTCTTTAGGTATGGTTTCCTGCATCCAAATCATATATATGAGGTCGTAGACCTGCTTAATTAATTCTTCACCTCCATTCTTTAGTAGCTCTGCTGGTATTTCATCCACACCCAGTGATTTGTTGTTTTTTAAAGACATAATTATTTCCTCTATTTCTTCTTTTTCCGGCGGTATTTCCTTTTTCTCACATATATTTTCTTTATTTCTATGCATTTTCTCTTCATTACTCAGTTCTATATTTTCTTGATTTAATAATTAGTAAAAGTATTCCGTCCATCTATTTAATATGTCTTTTCTCGATCTCAGCAAGTTTCTTTTTTTATCTTTACAATAGTCAAGATGCGGTTTGAAACCGGTCCTTGCATTTCTTACTCCTTTGTAAAATTTCCTAGTTTCTTTTGCCGCATACTGCTCTTGTATATCTTTTATGATTTTGCTTTCCCAAGCCCTCTTTTTCTTTCGACAAATTTCTTTGACTCTTTTTCTTTGTATTATATAATTTTCCATTGTTGCTCTAGTTGTCCTCTTCAAATATATGGCTCTCGCGTCATTCCTCTGTTTATATTCTAGCACTTCCACAGCGACCTCATTCAACACCGTCCTTATTCTCCGCCATTGCTATTCTACATTGCTTTCATTTAATCTTTGAGTGACGTTTCTTTCAAACGCCTCTTTCATTCTCTTGTTCTTTAGGCCATCCACAATCACCACTTTCCTGGTCTCTCTTCTGTTTTTGCACTCGTTAGATATCCTCTGTTTGTAGTTAGTTCCTACCAAGAAATGATCCGTGTTACAGTCGGCCCCTCTAAAACTATGGACAACTAATATATGTGATTTGTGCTCTTCATCTATTAAGACCTGATCGATTTGATTGATAGTGTTCCCATCTGGCGACATCCAAGTTTCTTTGTGGATCTCTTTATGTGGAAAACATATACTACTTATTCTAAGTCCCCTAGCTGTTGCAAAATCAATCAGTCTGATTCCATTTTCGCTTGTTATTTCATGCTTGCTATATTTTCCAATAGTAGGAATAAAAGCACTTTCCTTTCCAATTTTGGCAATGAAATCGCCCAGTAAAATTTTTGCATCATACTTTTATAGGTCATCATATGCTGCTTCTAGTGCTCCATAAAACAAAGATTTTTCTTCTTCATCTTTATCTTCTGTTGGAGCGTGTGCACTGATCAGGGATATATTATTGAATTTTCCTCTAATCCTAATGCAACATATTCGTTCAATTATGTTCTTAATATTCATTAGGGCATGCTTAATTGAGTTTTTGGTCATGAAACCCGTCCCCAGCAAGTAATTTCTCCCTGTTGTACCGCTATGAATCACTATGTATTCCTTCAGGTTGACTATTTCTTTTGCTTTCCATCTGATCTCCTGTAAAGCCACAATGTCCATCTTATACATCTGCAGCTCTCTCTCCAACACTTTACTAGCCCCAGGTTGGTACAAACTTCTTACATTCCAAGTTGTCAGTTTTAGTAGTCCTTTTCTGCGCGATTGTTGTGACCGTAGTTCCATCCAGCTATTTTCTTGTTCCTGTTTCATAACAATGATTTTTTACCGGTATAGTTAGCCCTATGACCACCCCTAGACTTGGAGGACCAGGATTTTCTGTAGAGGTTGACTCCCTTAGCCTTTGAACATCGTTCTATACTGCAAGGCAGCAGTGGAGAGGTATGGACGGGTAAAGGAGGAAGGATAGGGTAGGTAATTGGTCAATGATAGAAAGGAGTAGGTAATAATGTCAACGGACAGTTGCCCCTTTAGTTGCCTTCTACGACAAGCGGTTAAACACTATGGGCCTATTCTATTATCTCCGAACTCACAGGAGGATTTAATATTATTAGCAATATGTATTAATTCGATTTATTTTAATCTAGTTAAATTTAACTTTTATATTATTAAAGTTTTGAAAACTTAATTGGTCTTCTGGATTATCTTAGTTGATTTTATGTTCTTTTCATGAATTATTCCCAGTGTACTCTTAATCATCTGCTCTGCTTACTTTATTTTAATTAATTTAGTTTGATTTTAGTCAATTACAAATCTTGTTTGCCTTCCTTAAATAGTCCTAATTTAAGAAAGTTTTGAAAATTGTTTGTTAAAATATCTTCATTTGTTTTTTCAACAATTGCAGAAGTAGGAGATGAAAGCCGAGGCACTTCTCCTGGAAGATCTCTTGGAAGAAGGTCTTCTTATAAAACTTCTAGAGGTAGGTATTCGCTAATAACTTTTATTTTGAAGATTTCATATTTTAATTGGCTTCATTGTTCAACATACATTCTATCAAAACACAATATAGTGGCCTGTAATTTTACATATTTTTATAAATAACAGAAACTTTAAACTTGATTTTTATAATGTGTTTGATCCAAGCATCTATCTTGTTTCTTACAGCTTAAAATAATGCTATTTGGGAAAAAAAAGAAAAAGTTATGATTTAAAAAGTTTTAAGAAAATTAAAGGTTCAAATATATTTTTTTAAAAAGTCGAGATAGGGTTCGGAAGTGATATGGTTGGTTACAGATGGTTCACCAGAGGTACGGACGATGACACGGCCAAGGGTTGTCCCAGCAACAAGACGCAAGTCCAACTCCCTCATGAACCTTGCCGGTAAGACTGATAAAAGGTGTCGGCTTTGGGCATCGGTGAAGGAATCTAATTTAACAGGATGTTTTCCTTATATTTTACTGGTCTAATGCTCTTTTTGGTTTTTTCGGAAAATAAAAATGAATGATAACTTGATAAGTCAAAAATTGCTTGTAAATATATAAATTATTGTTTTTAAATATAAGAAGCCACAATAATTTTCATGTTAACCAAGAATAGTATTTATATTCATATCCTTAGAATGAACTTATATTTACTTTAGTGGGCTTAGTAATTTTGGACGACAAGATAATTATATTCATATACCTATATATTCGATTTACAGAAATAAACCTAAAAAGCTATAAATAACTAAACATTAGAAACATTTTCTATGCTTATAATAAATGATCTTTAAATTTATTAGCTGTGTTTAACTCATATTGGACAGTAGTGTGGGAAATTTAGCCTTAAAATTTGAACTGGTATTAAATTTCATAAAAGTTATTTTAATTTGAGCTAATTTTTACTACTTGAATCGGAATTGTAAAAATATCTTTAAAAAGTAATCTTCATTTAATTTGGTAGTGATGGTTGTATAGAATTATTTTACAATTAGTATTCTAATTACATCCATGAACATTTAAAAAAAAAAAAAGATACTATAATGGAGATATAGTCGATCTTTGATAAAACCAAGCCGATGGTTTAAAGTACAATAATGAAACGTGCGATTTTATTTGTTTAGTAGTGCAGAATACAGAGATATACTTACCCATTTTAAAGGTGATACAGTGGCAAAAACTACTTCGCTTATTCTCCCGTTTTGTTATTCAATTTCACTGATTACTTTTGGAAATTTTCTTTATTTATTTAATGAAGAAATTATATCATAACTAGGTCCACAGAATAGTAAACTTGATTGTCAGCTGTGTTGGAACATGCTCTCTTCCCTATATGATGTCTTATACAATCTGTTTTTCCATAATATAGGTTATTTATCTCTTCCCCTTCTCTTGCATCCTGCCTAGATGACCCTACCACGTTTTTCATTACACTACTGCACATATATTCTCTACTTTATAAGTTAGTTTTTATCTGAAATTATGGTAAATAATAAAAGGAAGGCATCCTGATGTTTCTTATTTAAGCATATTTGGGAGAAACTTTTACTAACTTTCATGTTTACATATGCTTGTGAGTGTAATATGTGAATGAGTGAGCGAGTGTGCACACAGATATGTTTATATTTACACAAATAATTCAGAAATTGGAATTACTTTAGTATTGAAAATTAAACAAAAAACTTCTGATTTATAAATAACTATTGTCTCTCATTTATAGTTTTCAGTTATTGTTTATATTTCTTAATAACTTTATGAATACATGTCAGCAATATTTTAATAACTTTTCAGAAAAACTTCACATCTTAAGTGGCTCAATTACAACTAAAGTTTGTAAACATTCTTTAAGTTTATCTATAATAGTTGTAGATCAGTTACTTAGTTTTAAGACCTTGTTAGTATATTTTTTTTCTGGCTCAATCAATACCTCTAGCCAAAAAAAGCCTGCTATATGTGTTCATTATTTTATCATAATAGGCCAATTTCCACAGGTTTAGTCATCATTAACCATAAGTAGATAGTGCCAGTATAACATTAGAATATAATCTGGTAATGGTATGTACTTTTTTATTCAAGAAGCCTCAAGTGTGATTGTCAGCCCCCCTATTGCGTACCTTATCTATATGCTGGGTCTCTTTCTACAGCTGCACAGTAATTTTCATCTCTATATTTCTGAGGTTTAAGATAAGGAATGCATTTTCAGAATCTCTCCTGGTCTATCATATGAGCCTTTTTCAGTTAACAGAGTGACCTACTCGTTTATCAATATTTTTGAGTAGTCAATTTAGTAATATTTCTAGTTGGAAAATTTATATAATATCAGTACAGATAGTGAATAAGTTGATTCCAGATGAGGTGACTGCAGTGTTTCTCACTTAAATTTTCTCACTAGAAATATCACTAAAATTAATAATAAAAAATGTTGAAATTGGGATTACTCATTCATCAACTGAAAGGCTCATATAATGCTTTAAAAATTGTGAATTCAACCTCAACCTCAGAATAAATTAGTGTTGAGATTAGAAAGACATCCCATAATAGCTGAAAGAGTGATGTTCATGCCATCTTTCTAGCTATAGTCTACAAACTCTAAATGTTGATGACCACTTCTAGTAGGAAATCATCTACTATGTTTGTTTTTTTTATATTAATTGGTTTGCAAGAATGTATTTTCATCTGTTACATGTGGAGTGATGTAATTATGTCAAAGGCACTTACACAGTGGGCCAGACCCTCTCTACTGTGCACCCACCCTCTCTCCTCAAAAAGTCAACGTTCCTAAAAAAAAAGTGAACGCACTGCTCGAAAATGGCATCCAAACATGGCGGACTGACGATTTTGTCTTTAGTTAGCTGACATGCCAATTGCTTTGAACAAATCTTTTTTGCTGATAAAATGGTCTTCACCATAATAAACCTGCATCGTCCCCTTAATATCATCCCATTTGACCCCCTTTTAACAGCATCTTGAAACATACTGATCCTTGTTTTCTTGTCCGAGATTTTGGGTTTGATTTCGCGTTTTCTCTCATTTTGAGACCAAATCCCAACAATCAATTCAGGTTACCTAGAAGAATTTATAGCTTCGACCTTCGATATTCAGCCAAGTATTATTCAATTAAGTTTAACTATTATAATTGTATCATTTTTACAATAGAGATCTTCTTAAACGACCTCCATATAAAATAAAGGAAATTAAATTTTTTTAAATAATAAATTTTAAAAAAATTTGTTTAATTTTTTTTTTGGACAGTTAAATTATTGCATTAATATGTGTTCGTTAATACAATCAATATAATGTACCAACAACATTATTATAGCTCTATAACTAAGCCATTTATGAGTAATGAATGGAGTGATAGAGGCCTGTACGCACCTATGCCAATATCGCTTTTCTGCACTTTCTACGCAACAACTTCAAATATTTAAAAAAGTAATCAGTGTTTTAGAAAGGGAAATATATTCTCCAGATGTTTTATTTCAGCACGTTTTGCGTTATTGTTGGCTGTTTAATTACAAACGACGCTTGATTTTCAACTTGAAAATGTTTTTGTCAAAAAAATTTAATTTACTGGTGTTTTTTATTTCCTAAATCAATTATTTTTTCATGTTTTATTATTCTCTGACTATCCAACTTTAATAAAAGACTAACTATGACGAAATTAAGCCAAATGCTGATTCTCAGTGAAAAACAAACTAACTGAAGTCAAAGTCGTCAGTTCGCCATTTTGAGGCAGTTCGTTCACTTTTTTGTGGGAACATTGGCTTTTTAAATAAATAGATACAAGGAACACGACATTCAATTTATAGGGTTGTGGGGGGAAAGGGTGCACGGCAGGGGGCTCTGGCCCATAAACTTATATGTTTTGACATTTATTACAGGTTAAATTTAGGTTTCTCTCAATGCCAGTTGTATGTTATAAAAATATTTTTCAATGATTTTTTATAGCAACTGGTGTAGCTATTAGTTATACATTTATTTTAAATTAAATTCTTTGGTAAAAAATCTGGGAAACATTCTACCTGCTATTCATGTTGAGTGCTTCTATTTTGATTTCTTGGGTGCAATATATTAAATTAATGTTTTCAATGAAAGTTTCATTAATTATGAAATATATTCTTTATAGTAATTCTGTTATCGTATTTAGAATCCTTAAACTTATTTTTTTCTTCATGCTTCATTTACTTTTTTATTTATGGATTTTAATTATATCTGCATGCCTTGCTTAAATAAACTTGTATATTTTCACCAATATATATTTATTTACTTATCTTGTTACATTTAGACAATTTCAGCTGCCCAAATGAACTGAAATTGATTATTTATAGTTGTTTTCTTGGCAAAAAAATACTATAAAAGTAGGTGTAAGTTTCAGCCAAAACTTGTGTCCAAATGTTGTTTTTCACAGCTTTTAATTCTTCATGGACTTTTTATTTTTCGATTACCCCTACCTCGTCATTTCTGGAATACGGGTTAAAACCGAACCTAGTCTTACCAGAGTTAGAAGGTGCCATGATAAGAGACCGGATCTTCGTACAATGAAAATAAAAAAAACGTTCAGAAAAAAACAACTCAAAATGTGCAAAATTATGCAGTAAAAACTCGAAAAATGTAAAATTGTGTAATTAACACCTAAAAATGTGCAAAAAAATCATCTATTTTGTTTAATTTATTAATACATCAAAATCTGATTTAACCTTGTTTAGTTTTTTAATTAAAATGTGAAAAAACAAGAAAAAAAAAATTTAAATGCGAAATTGAAAATGAAACTCCTAAGAATTTTTAGAAAACTTTAGAAATACATGTCATTTTCATTTATTAAATTTGGAAACAAATTATAAAATGAAAAAAAAAAACAGAAAGAAATTAAGAAATTTAATTACTTTTAAAATTCTATTGGATTTCCTCCGATAAGCATTAATAAAACAAAAATAGCAATTTTCATCTATTTCTGTATATTGTAGGAGATTATTGCCTCACCAACACTCGGCTGAGGTGTGGCTTGGAAGCAGTGCAGTAATGTGTCTAATTCTTAAAGCTCCTGTATTTTTATATAATGTCAACAATGTACATAGACTATGTACATACATTTTAATGAATAACTTATCGTAATAATGTTAAAATAATATGCTTAAAGATTATTTGCTACTTTTCTACATAAGATAGTGTGGAAAAACTGGGTTAGATTTTTGTTTATAGTTTTAGTTCTAATGTTAGCAGATATTTAACTTATATTTGGAATTAGTGACTTTCAAAGCTATCACTACTGTGACAAAAATTGATCATATAAATTTTTATATTTTTCATCAATTGAAGTGTTGAGCCAAATAACAGTCGGTGATAATGTTTTTAATTTACAGCAGATCAATAACAACTTTAGTTTAACACTTTTTCTTAAAAGTAACTTAGACCATTATTCTATCAAACTCTTATGACAATGATATTAATATCAGTTTATGCTAAGAACGTGTAAAAATATTACATAAGTCAATATGCGGCCGAACTCTTCAATTGCAGTATGTATCATGTTCTCAATGTTCTTATGTGTTTTCTAAAGATTTGTTTCAGTTTTTTCATACAGATTGTGTAAATGTTTAAATATATTATATAAGATAAAGTTTAAAAAAAAAAATTTGCATGAATTGAAAATACGTTAATAATTTTTGTTATTTCGAGCTTTTATTCACCAGTGGATGGGCTAGAAGCTGTTACCCTATTCATTAATATTGAAAATATTGTTTTTAATTTTTTCTGCTTTATGTAGATGACTTGTTGAAGAGATATAACAAATCCTCACTGGATTCTTTTTGGTGGAGATAAGAGTCTTAAAACCTGTAAACTCCAACAAAAAGAGTAAATTACCTGATTTTGTTTAGTCCTGTGGAAGTGTATTAACAGGATATATATTGTTCAATGCATCTACAAAGTCAACATTTATATTAAAAGTTTATTAATAATTTTAATAAACCAAAATTAAAAAACAATGATAGTCTGCGGCATAGATACTTTTTTTTATCAAATTATTAACATCAGTCTGAAACTTTTTTTTATCCTACAACTTTTTTATTTACAAAAATTCTCAGAAATGGGGTGTTTTCAAATTGGTGATGGGTATAATTTTTTAATTTAATAAGGTACTTAAAACTCATGAACATCCATTTGCTTTTCACGTGAGTCATAAGATAATTTGATCATTGAATTAAGAAAAATGGTGGCCCACCAAAATATTGGGCCGTTTGGCATGACCTCCACCCCTAACATGTCAAAATAACGTGTTTTTTTAGGTAAACTGCCCAATATTTTAGCAAGCCACCTTTTTTCTCCATTTTGTGATAAAATTATCTTACGATTTAAGTTGAAAGAAAATGAATATTCATAAGATTTTAGTTGCTCATTAAATTGATTAATTATATAAGTTGTGATCCATTTGTGAGAATTTTGTAGATAGAAAAGTTGTAGATTACAGTAAGATAAAGCTATTCATAAAGTTTTGGAAAGATGCTAATAATTTGATAAAAAGGGTTCTTTACCACTGACTAAAATCCTTACTTATAAAGGTTCATGATGTACGATTAATGTACATATTAAAACATAGATAATTGATTCAATCATCTGAGCCGGACAAAGCAATCATGTGCCTATTTTAGTTTTTCTTGTTTGATAAAATGATTAAACCAAGCCTTTAAATGTTTAGAATTTATGTTATTAATCTCTCTAAAATGAATTGTAATGTATTATTTGATGCCAGTCACAAATATATCCTATTTTAATCACTACAGGTTCAAGCTGTGACCAGGATAGTTTAGCGTATCGCTACACAGATACTGATTCTGGCCTTGGAAGGGCCACTCCACCCAGGAGAGTTCCCTCCCCTTCCGGTCCTGGCTCACTGCCTGCAGGTAGACGAAGACCCGATGATAGCCTGTCTGATGCTGGTTCTGACTATAATGGCCCCAGGCTTTATCGCCAGCCTACAACTAAGAGTAATAAGGTTAGATTTGTCTCCTTTATTTGCAGTTGCAGGTCTTTTTAAATCATCACTTTGATTTTACAAGGTGCTAACTGACATTTTTGACTAAAATAAGATTATTAGTGCTTTAGATTTTCCTTTTTCTTATATAAATGAGGAAATAAATTTTTCTGTGATCTGTTCAGAAATCAACTTCATAGGTATAAGAGCTTTGTACCTCAATTATCAATTTATTATAAATGAAATCACACTACTATGTGCTGAGAACAGTACTTTGATGATTCTGAATTTCTGCCCATCAACTCCATCGAACTTCTTATAAAGCACTGAATTTTTATTTTTCTGTGATCTTCAGCTTGTGGGCAAAGAAATAAAGTGTACAGTGATTCCATACTTGAAATAAGATGGCAAATGTCCATTTCTTATCATTTATGCACTATAAATTAGATTTTAGGTAGGAATAATTATATTTTTAATCTATTCTTGATTTTTGTTATTAATGTTGTGAGAGTAGTATCATCTGATTTTTAAACAAAAAAAGTATAACAATTGACATGTTCCTTGATTTAGGTTGAGTAAATTACTTTGCAACTATTCCGCTCTCACTTCAAACCCAACCCACCAGGAAGGGTTGTTTCCTATTCCTATTCCTAACTGTTCAACGACTTTATTCATCTACTCGTATATTACAAATCTACATAAGTATAAATTTAATTAAAAAAGCAGTAAATTTCCTATGGAGCTCAGATATAACCATTAATAAGGGAGATATAACTAAAAGGTGAACTATAGGCGAAAAGTTCGGTCCTTAACTTTTTAATTATTATGAATCTCGATGTCTCTCATGTCAATAGTATAAGCCATATTATTTGTTTATACATTCTAGTTATGTTATTAACATAATAGAAGAAGACAAATTAAAAAAATTGAATAGATATAAAGTGCCTAAGATGAATGCAGTAGATAATACGACTGAAAATGTTATCAATACTGTGCGCTTTAACAGCCACTTACTTTCTCACTTATCCTATCTCCATGAGATTTATAAGAAATTATTATAATAACTTTCTTGGAGAGATGCATAGATTATAAGTTTTGGGAAAACTGACCAAAACGGCTTATTCTTTTGAAATAAGCAGACAGTCAACTTGCTCTAACTGCTCACTAGTTGGTCCTACAATAAAAAGCCATGTTCAGAATCGTTAACAGATTTTATATTTTTTAACTTTGTATAGAAAAATAATGTTGATAAAATGCATAGTTTCGGAGTCATATCCAAAAAACTAAAAAAGGTGCGGAATTTTTGCTATTTTTGTCATATATCTCAGAACGTCTTGGGAAATTTCACTCTGTAACTTCAAATTCAGATTCATCATCTCAAATCTTACCACATTCAACTGGACTATTTTGATGACTTTGACTTCCTCAGTTTTCAAAATACAACCGATTACATCATCAGTCGAGGTGAATGCTCTTTTAGGAACACATTATTTCCACCATATAAAAATTTGAGCCATCAGTTCTTCCGATAAATGAAACATCAAATTTCACCACTTTAATTTAAATTTTCGTGTAGAAAACAATGGCTTTCCATCGAGAGACCGAAGTTGTGAGCTCAGATGAGGTTTATCTACTATTAAAAATGGTTAATAACTGTAAATTCTTCAGTTAAATGAAATGGTGTGTAGCTCCTAGTCTATAACTGGCTATCCAGTTCGAATAGTCAGCGATGGAATTCAGCTTTGAGATTGTCTCTTTTTTATTAAAAATATCATATCCACAATTTTTCAGCAAGTATTAACAAAAAAACATTTTTCAAATATTCCTCTCACTAAGGGCTACAAATAATATGAGAAACATTATTTCTCATTTGCCAGTAGTTACAAAGTTATGAGGGGTAGCAGAACTAAAATCAAGAAAACTTCACTTTATTGAGGCCAAATAGATCAATTTACTGCTCGTTTATCATTTTTTCATCAGGTGAACTTTGATGAAATCTAAAACAAGCATCCTTGCCGTTTATATTAGTACTTTTGGAATTCAAGAACGATGGTTTATGACGGAGATATGAGGAAAAACATAAAATAAGATAGAAAGTGCTAGGTGGCCATCTTTGACCCTCCATTTTGGATGGAAGCGGACATGGGATTTTAGGGGACTTTTCATGGCTTGTTATGCATTCAATAAGGAACTAATTTCCACATTTACAGCCAATTGTGAATTTTCTTGATATCGGCCCTGCTTTTTTCCCTATTTTTACTGGACTAATTTAGTTGTTCAGGCATAAATTCTGTCAAAATGTTTATCAAGTACTATGTTTTAAATGAAGATTTTTTCATGAATAATTTCTTCTGTTAATTGGAAATTTTGATCAAAATCAGTTCAGTAGTTTTCAAAAGAAAAAAGGTACAATATTTTGATGAGATGCAGTTATCTCTGTTTTATTTTTACAGGGTATAGTTCTCAATGCTGTGGAGTATTGTGTTTTCCCTGGTGTTGTTAACCGAGAAGCAAAGCAAAGAGTAATAGAAGAAATGAATCGCTCTGAAGCCAAACATTTCCTCGTCCTTTTCAGGGATTCTGGTTGTCAATTTAGAGCTTTATATGCTTATTGGCCAGATACAGAAGAAGTGATCAAATTATATGGAACAGGACCGAAGCAGGTCACTGATAGAATGTTTGACAAATTTTTCAAGTAAGTAATATAGTTTCCGTATTAATGATAAAATACATATAATGATTTTTAAGATTTAATAAATATCAAAGTACCACAGGAGTGTGTTCTTTTGGTCAAGTAAGACAAAAATTAAGGACATGGTAACACAATATTTGTAAATTTATTGAGAAGTCTGTTAACGGGAGGGAGAGATAAGATAGATATTTGATTAATTAGATGATCTGTTTAATTTAGTTTATGTTAGTCTTGTGATACAGCCAATTCTACGTACTTTGAATTCTGTGGTAACACAATTTTTTTTCTGCTTCTTTAGAAATTCTTGTTAAATAAACTAAGGGGCAATAAACCCAAATTCATTCAGAATATAACCATTTTTTTAATAACAATATCCCTACCTTTCCATTTCTGGCATGCAGGATTAGTTGTAGAATGTTAAAAAGAAGCACAAATAATTTATGACTTTTTTAAACAGAACTTAGCTGTGTTTGTCTGCTCAATAGTCCCCTTTAAATAATTTTAACAATAACTAACTCTACTTTTGTTCAAAGAAAATTTTGTCTGGTTTACTATAAAGCAATGTTTAATAACTTAAATAGAATATTTTTTAAGTTTTCGCTTCCTATTCACTACTATCAGCCTTTTAAATATTTCCCTCTACTTACAGGACATAGGTAGATACATATAGATGTGTGGTTTTCATAAATGCTTATTATTAAATTATGCTTTTTAATTATTTAGTATTTAATCGTATAAATTACAGCAATGCTGAGGTTGTGATGTAGTGTTGGAGTGTTTTCTGTTGTAGCATTCTTGTGCCTAGCGACACTGGTTCGAATCCAGCCTGTAAAAAGTTAACCTTTATTTCATGGTGGAGACCCACGAAATGGAACTCGATCTTCCTACTCTGGTTAGAATAGGTTTGGTTGTACCTCTAGAACAACCCCCATATGCCAGAAAAGAAAAAAAAAAGATTACAGCAATATAGAAATTAAAATTTGTATACACTGACAGGCAAAAAATTCCACCCACTTGATTTTTTCATGTTTTCATCTAAAAATATTTCTGCTTTGGATTGGTCTATTGTTTTTAATGAATAAATAGGTAATCTTTTTGTTTGTTTTCAATTAGGAATGTTAATATAGAGGACAATAACCCTTAATCCTTAATTCAATAAAATGATTCTAGATTCCTATGTTTACTTTCTATGGAATCAAAATGTTTATTCAGTATCATTAGTTCAGTGCCGTTTCTTGCAGCACATTTCTTAGTCTCCGGCTTTTAATTTTTTCAATATTAAGTTTAAAAATGCCTCTTAGTGCTGAGGATGTTGCGCGTGGTGTGGATTTTATTGATGATGGACGTTCCATTAGATATGCAGCTAATGCCATTGGAATTCCATATGAAACTTTACGAGACGCTGTCAGGCATTTTCGGGAAAGTGATTCTTACAATAGAAGGCCCGGTTCTCGACGGCCTAGGGTAACAGAACCATGGGATGACCGGTTTTTGACTTTGATAACTTTACGAAACCGACACCTTACCGTTGTTCAAGCGATTCATCAGCTCGAAGAAGTTCGAGGTGTGCAAATTTCTGAATATACCGCTCGGATAAGATTAAATGAGTATGGATTAATGGCTTTTCGTCCAGTAAGTGTAAGAGGACCAGAGTTGACCAGAACTCACAGAGTAACATGGCTGGCTTTTGCTCGAGAACACAGCCATTGGACTATGGACGAATGGAGTGCTATACTTTGCAATACTTTACAGATGAGTCAAGATTCGCTCTTCGATCTCCAGACGGGCGTGAAAGGGTGTGGAGAAGAAGAAACGAAAGATATGCAGCCTGTAATTTTTCCCAGAGCCAACCTTTCCAACGTGGTTCCTTAATGGTGTGGGCTGGGCTTTCAATGGAGTGCCGCATTGGTAACAAAAGAATTGGTTGTTGTTTTTGGAGGGTCTTTGATGGTCATTCGCTATGTAGATGAGATTTTGAAACCTCATGTGTTGCCTATCCTCAACTAAATCGACGATCATTCTATTCTAATGCACGATCATGCACGCCCCCATGTCGCACGCATAGTGCAGACGTTCCTTCAACAGAACAATATTGAGGTTTTAGTCTGGCCAGCACGTTCTCCAGATTTGAACCCCATTGAGCATTTATGGGATAACCTCGGAAGACGAATAAGAGCGCGTGCAACACTTCCTGATACACTGCAGGACCTTGAAAGGGCTCTTCGGGAGGAATGGGCTATCTTCCAGCAAAGGGACATTTCCCGACTGGTGGGCAATATGCCGAGGCGTCTTCAAGAAGTAGTGAAGGCAAGAGGAGGAAACACACTCTACTAAACGATGATGTAATTAATTTCTTTTAGAATAATAATGGTTCGTTTTGGAATCTTGGAATCTAGAATCATTTCATTGAATTAAGGGTTAAGGGTTATTGTCCTCTATATTAACATTCCTAATTGAAAACAAACAAAAAGATTACCTATTTATTTATTAAAAACAATAGACCAATCCAAAGAAGAAATATTTTTAGATGAAAACATGAAAAAATCAAGTGGGTGGAATTTTTTTGCCTGTCAGTGTATATATATAGAATAGAATAGAATAGAAGAATCAACTTTATTCTGGGACAAAGTCCCTTAAGAATAACAATTTTTTACATAAAAATTAACCTAACATTTGGCCAAAATACATATTACAATAAAAAAAATAACTAAAAACTAAGTGATAACAGAAGTATTTACCTTATTACATTTACATTACAGAACGTGACTAGACATCTTTTCCATGCTCAAAAAAGAATATATATTTATATACAAATGATAAATTGAGAAAAATGCAATTTTGTTACATGATAAATGGCTACCCAGCATCTGATTGAATTCTAAGGAGGAATTGGAATAGGAGGTTTTTAAATATGGATAGAAATGGTGCATGACGGATTTTAAGTGGGATGGAATTCCAAAAGGTAGTGGAGCGGACAATAAAGGAGTGTTGAAATGAGGCAGATTTGTGGAAAGGGGTATAAAGGTCAGAAGGACTTGTGGAGAGGGAGTGGAAAGATGACTTGAATTGAAGGAGATTGAATGCTTAGAACGGACGATGATTATAGATTATTTGGTGAAGGAATGTACCTAGGAAATATTGTCTTCTGAAGGAGGGGAAGAGCCACCCTAACTCTTCTATAACCCTAATATATATATATATATACACCCTAACCCTAATACATATACATATATATATATATATATATAATATATATATATAAACATCAGTATACAAATAAATAAAAGTATTCACAATGAAATTTAGATAAATATTATGATGTTTATCACTGGAACTCTTGGTTAACATATCATTAATTTCACAGGTGGGAATTACGGAAAATGATGAGGCAGATCGTCTTGCTAAAACTTTTCTTAATCTGCTTGATGTGACAGATATTAAACTGCGATATACGGGTTATTTTTTTATGATAATAGGAAATATGTTAGATAAATGGTACCAGCATTATCACGAATCTTCCACAGGTAGATTTTATAAGTCGACTGTGCAGCGAATTTTGATCAAGCCTTGGTTTTACGAATTGAATTTGTCAAAAGACATAGTAAAAAAATTTTCTAGACTTAAAACAAATCTCAGATTATGCAAAGTTTATCTTCAACGTATTGGAGTTAAAAACTCTGCAAAATGCGAAAAATGTAAAAAAAAAAAAAAAGAGATCTTCCAACTTATAATTTTGGAATGTTCTGCTTATAAAAATCAAAACAAAAAATATCTAAACTTTCTAAACCCTTATAATGATTATATATATATATATATATATATATATATATATATATATATATATATATATATATATATAAGAAATTGTTAACATCCTACAATCCCGAAGAAATAGTCAATGCAACACAGTACCTATATTTAACAAATAAATATATTTAGATTGGAGATAATAAAGAATGGGAATACAACTCCATGATTTTATAATTGGCTGTATGGGAAATTCCAATGTCAAAAAAAAAAGTCTGCCAAGTAAGGTCATTATAGCTTTCTCACCAAATTCACCGACATTTTCCATCCCATCAGTTAGAACAAAAGTTATTCAAGAATTGTAAGAATATGAATGAAATTAACAAAATACAGGAAATGAATGCCTATACATATTTAAAAGTTATCGATGCTTACATCCTAAAGATTTGGAATAAAGCCCTTTTTCACTTTGAAGTTTTAGAGGGAAATTGAGACCATAACCAGTTGGTTGAACTTCAAAAGGAACAAACAAACTCACAAATATGACGTTATTTTTTAGTCTGTGCAAAATTTAATTTAAATTTACAAATATACGATACATGTAGTAAAGGAAAATTGTATGTGTAAGTGAAAGCTGGTGAAGTGATTCGCCAAAATCTATATTGGTCCATCTAAATTTCAATCCCCACAATCACTGAAAATTACATGAATTTTTTTGTACGGCAATATCCCAAACATTGACAGGCTTCTCTGTATGTGCTGCAAAATACACCATTAACAGTTCTCAGATATTGAAATGATTTTGGGCCACGAACATTGACTAACAGTAAACACTAAAATAAAAACACTCGTCTTAGCTGGGTTGGACTGTGTAAAGACGTCCTGGTCCATTGGTGGAAAATACTTGTAGTTAACCTAAAACTGGCTGTCCAAGGCTGTGACCAAGAGAAATAGGGATTCATTTTTATATTTATAGATGTTTGTTGATCAAAATATATTTTCACTCACAAAATTCATGTTTTATTATCCATGTTAACTTCTCCCCCATTCCATTTAATCAAGGTTTTATTGACAACTCTTAGTAAAAGTATTTCTATCGAACTTAATAAAATGAATAACATCCATGAATTTTCTTATCTCTAAATTTAATGATTCATAACATGAAATTGGTATGGTTAAAGATTTAAAAAGAAGAAGTAATTTATTTATTTGTTTCAGGTATAATTCAGGAGCGAAATGTTTTTCTCAAGTACATACCAAGCACCTGACTGTCACAATAGATGCTTTTACCATACATAATAGTCTTTGGCAGGGAAAAAAAGTCAACTTACCCAATAAGAGGGATATGACACTTGTAATTTAGTCATTTTAGTTTTATATATTTATATATTAACAGATGACTAATTATTGTATAAATAGCTAAATAATATTTTCCTGTATATAATGTAATTGATCTGTATAACATAAAAGTAGCTTCTAAGTTGTATTAACTGGGTACTTAATACCAGTATAAATTATTATAAGAATGGTCTAGATATACTTGTTTTGTTTTGTATCAAATCACTTTTTTTTTTCTTTTTTTAACGACTCATATTTATATTTGGACTTGTAATTAAATTTCTATTTATTAACATAGCAAATTTATATTATATTTACATACATACTGATATATACGTATATGTGCGTGTATGTATGTTTTTTAATGTAATTCAGTTTAAAATTACTAAAAATAAAAAAAAATTAAATTAATAGTTACTAAAACGCTAATAGGATATTTTTATAGAAATCAGTATAATATAAATTTATTGATTTTTGAAATTTTATTTTAATTATGATGAAAGACTATGTGGTTTTTGAAGGTCATACATTAAAAACTATTAATCCCACTAAGTTATTAAAAAAAAAAAAAAAATTGCATCACATTTAGAATCAAATTAGGATTAGGTTACTTTACCTAAGCTGCCATACCGGCTTGCTTGCATATTAGTCTGAGAGAATAGACAAGGGTTCTGACCATCTAGGTGTATTTTTCTTAAACCAAAATAAGTTGAAATTTATTTCAATTGATATTACCACATATGAATGCTGTGCCAATTTGCTTTTCTTTTCTTATTTTTAATTTAAGTTTTGTTATTAAACAAGTCATTAGGTTGTGATTATGGTCAAAGCTTTTGCTTGTGTTACTGTCCCAGTAACGGTTATACGCTTTCCTTAAAATTGTTTATTGTAAATTATAATTATATACATACTAGACGATATATGTTATATGTACACACTTAAGCACTCCGTGTATGTGTATATATATTTATATACATACATAAACACATATAATCTCATCATAATATTTGGCAAATAATTGATTTGTTGCTAAAAAAAATTTTAAAGATGTTAATATATATTGTAAATATGTTTAGCTCCCCTTTGTTTCTCTCTGTTTTTATATAACTCTGATATACATATTTATTAATTATTGAGAAAAAAAAAATAGTACTGTTGCAATTGTTTCATAAACCATGGATCAACTAGCTGTCAGTATATTTATATTTAAAACAAATGTGATCAATAAATAAAAGATTAATTGTGTACTTGTTGTTTATTCTAAAAGTGCTGTATTCATAAAGTACCAGAATGTAAGATATTATTCCATCTCTCTCAGATTAAAGATAACATAGTAATAAAATATATAGACACTGATGTTTTAATCCTTCTGCAAGGTAATTTAGAATTCATTTACTGCAAATATCTGGATTAATGTTGTCACTTCTAATAGTGATGGGCTATATTTAATAAGTGAAAAGTTTTCCTGCATTTCACACTTTGTTTAAGAAGTGATTTTACTACACTTTCCACAAACTTAAAAAAAAATAAAACCATTTATGATATTGAAGAATATACCAGCCTATGAAGCCAATTATTGTTGTATATTTCAATAATTGCATTGTTAACACCATGATAACAAATTCTGCAACAAAAACATAATTGGAACTGTAGTTGCTTATCACACAATATTGTCAAAGTGTTTTTAGCTTTTTTTAATAAACATCTATTTATAAAAGTTATTACACATAATACACATTTTCAACTAAATTATTTTATTCAGAAACGAAGGAAGTTTTGAAGCTGGAAAGATTAGTATAAGATAATCAATGGAACGAGCTAGGTGCTGACAGGCCATGACATAGCCGTGTCCTCAATCTCATAACTTATCTCCCACCACTTTTTTTTTAATGCAGATTATCTTTGTAAATATGTATCAGAGAAAAATTTAGAACTTTTATTGTTGTAACCTAATCTGCATCGACAAATAAAAATTGATGGACTTTTTTTTACTAAAGGAACTAAACTGCAAATAACAATTTTTATGAAGATTTGTAATTTTAGCAAACACAAAAATGACCAATAATTAATCACTTTCAAAGAGATCATTGCTTGAAGGTAATAGATAATGACAAAATACAAACAATAATTGTGTATTCTTTTATATTAATTTACATTTCTGCAAGTTGGTATCAAAGTAAAACAAGAACTGAATACAAATAAAAAAACAAGTCTTGCTTGCTTGCTGTATGAAAATTTTATGTTTACTTTTCTTTGTTTTGTTATGCTTGTGGAAACAACAGTAAATTGTAAGTCAAAACATCAATAAAAATTAAATGAAACTATTAACATAAATTAAATAATTTATATAAACATAAAATCAAGGTCACATATCTCATACATAATTAATTTTTAGAGAATTTAAACAATATTTTATTTAATGTATTTTTCCATAAACTTTCTGTGAAACTCTGATCTCAAGGAATCGTTGATAAACTGACTGGTCTTCTTTTCTGGTTCAGAACGAGCACAGTTCTTAAAAACCACATCATCATCCCATCTCCTTTTCACCTACAAAAACATTGGAAAAACTATATCACAAAGAATAATTATGAATTCATATCATTAAGGATTACAATAAAGGCTTTAATGCAGCCAAATATCTATTAGTGCAATCAGGAGTAGGTGTTTCTATATGTGTAAAGTGGAGAGGTTTGAAAGAGAAAATTGATTGTGCGTGTCGAATATCAGCAGGGATGGAATTCTAGAAGGAGGTGGTAGCTTGAATTGCAAATGATTTGTCAAATGCATCAGTTCGGTGAGGAGAGGGATAGAGATCGGAAGTGCAAGATCTAGTGGGACAGGATTGGATGGAATATTTAAATTGCAAGCTATGAAAAATATAGGAGGGGCGATGAATTCTAATGATCTGGTACAGAAAGGTACCTAGGAAGTACTGACAGCAATAGGATAGATAGAGCCACTTCAACTCGGTGTAGTACTGGGTAATATGCGTATCCCTTGAGATTCCGAAAACAAAACGTAATGCACAATTCATTAGGCATTTAAGTCTGTCCTCGAAATCTCCCGAGAGTCCACTGTACACCATACAGCCAAAGTCGAAGTGGAGGAAAACAAGAGAGGAAACTAGGAGTTGACAGTACTTATATGGAAGGAGATAACGTAGGCGATTGAACTGTTTTAGGGTGGAGATAGTGTGACGGAAAATTTGGGAGATGAGTGGTTTCTAGAAGAGGGTTTGATCAAAAGTAACACCTAGGTTTTTAACGATAGTATGTAATAAGATAGGTGAGTTGTTCAGAAGATTGAGAGATGCCGGGAAGGATTTGAGGAGTGCGGGAATCCAATCAAGATGGCTATCGTTTTCTCAGTGTTCAGAGTGAGCCTGTTGAGGTTTGCCCATTCACTTATTCTATTAATATCTTCTTGGATTTTTAGAATGGCATCTGAGGAATCGGCTAGATTGAAGGAGAGGTAAATCTGAATGCCGTCGGCATACAGGTGGTATTGACAGTGCAGGATTGAGGATGGGAGATCATTTATACAGATGGAAACAAAGATGGGGGATAGGGAAGAGCCTCTGGACAAGAGGCGCTCCCTAAGTGCAAACATGGCTATGTATGTTTGGAAACTGATCTTCACTGGTGTGGAGTTTCCTGTTACCTAGCAAGATCAAGGATTCGATCCTCTCACTAGCACAAATCGAGTATGTTTTGGAAGCTAATCGTTCTATCTACTCGCCTCACTCATCATACCTAAGCCCACCTTGCTTACAGGTAAAGATTATGAGGAGAAATTATCATGGAAAGAAAGAGTATAAAAAAAAAAATTATAAAACATTTTCTACTCTAAAAAGATTATAGTACTTGCTCCATCTTGTTTAGTTGAGGAAGTACAAACAAACAATAAATATGACTTAAAAAATACACAATAAATGCTTACTTTTAGATCAGTTTTCGTGGCTTGAGCAGAATAATTTAACAATGGGTTACCACTTAAAATATTTTCCATTCGAATTCGCTCTTCTTCAGCTCTTTTCTCTTGTTCCTATAAAAATTAAAACAAATAATATATGTAAATAAAATAAATAATAATAGAATATTTATAAATTTGTTTAAAGAGTTCATGCTTATGATAACAGAAATTCCCACATGATAGAGAAGTTTGGTGAGGAAGATTATAGGAAATGTAGAATCTTCTAGATTTTTATTCATTGTAATCTAGATTTTTGCACTCTCACTATTTTTATAACCTAATTGCTTTTTTAATATAACAAAAATTACAATTCTTTAAATATAGCTAATCATTACTGTTTCTTTAGATAAAAGATACAAATAAATAATATTCATTAAACATGGGTAAAATCATTTCGTTATTTATTTAGTCCGAGTTTATAATGTTTAACTGAGTTTTAAGTATAGTATAGCATAACGGATGAACCATCCAGTACTAGGGAAAATTTTTTATAGCAGGGTGTCCAACCTTGTAATAAGAGTGCCATAACTCCACCAGAACTTCTCAAAGAAAGACTGCAAACCACTGAAAATAACTGTAAGGCAGGAAATATATGCTAATTCTATTCAAACATTAGAAAAGAATAGGAATAGGAAAGAGTAGGATATAAGTTGAGAAATATGAAAACGCAAGGAAAATATATTATTCTGACGGCAACAAAAGAAAAGATACTGAGCATATGGAAATAAAATTTCTAGCAGGTTCTCAATCCAGAGAAAGAACAAAAGGAACACACTGAGGTCATTGATCCAATGATTGAACTGGATAATTGTTTATTAAATAGCAATAATTACATAATTAATAACATAAAAATAATTATAATTACCAATTATGATCCACTACTATGATTATTGACTTATTATTTAAATTTTATTAAAATTGTTATTTCACTAAGGAAAAACAGCCTTAAGTCAAGTATAATATGATTAAAAGTTAATGTCATATATCACATACCTATTCCATTAACAAATCCACCTAGTCTACACAGAATCTGAACTTATTGTGAACATAAATTTCAATATAAACAACTTATCCTAATGTTAATGATGAAATAAACCAACCTTTTTGAGCTGTTCAGCAGCCCTTTCTTTTCTAATTCGACTAAGCTCTGCTAAAAGTGCTGCAGTATCATCTTCTGAATCTGGATCATCTGACTCATCGTCGTCAAGAGGATCGTCTGCATCCAAACTTGCAGCTGGTGCTTGGTCTATTTTAAGTCGTTTACTCCTTAAATTAATTAAAGAATTTATTTTTTTCTAATAGAAAGTAATTTTTGTAATCTAATGTTAAGGAATGCAACTAGATATAATCTTGCTGAACATCTTAATTAGCAATTGATTATTTAAAAGTCTAGTTCTTGAAGCAGAATCTAAGGAATAATAATTTGGAATAATTATCTAAACTTTGTCACTTACTGCTGATCAGAAGCTCTGTTTCTAATATTTTTCTCTCTCTCTCTCTCATCCAATTCCCTCCTGAAATCTCGACTTCGAAGTTCTTCAGTAGTACCCTGACCATGTTCCCTGTAAATAAATTAAACTAATGAAACACCAGATTTCGACCAATAGACATTTTTATCAACATGTTAAAACTCAAAATTATCTTAGGAAGAAAAAAAATCCATATTAGATGACCTGGACATGTATGATCTTGGTACAATAATAAATTTTAATTAAATATAAATACCTTAATAATGATTCTTCAAGCTCTATTAAGAAATAAAAGCTGTGCAACAGTTAATTGTAGTCATTTTTGCTGAAAACATTAGTACTTTTAGGCGACTGGATAGAAAATCACATCATTTCTTTACACAACCTCAGGTGAATCTCAAGTTTTTGCCAAATAAACCTCAATTGTTATTAAGCATGATAATTTTTCTAAAAGTGGGGTAACTGTAGTATAGCTGGATGGTGATAAAAAAATCGTGAATAATTTATGATTTTTAAAAAACAGAACTTAACATAGTTTAGCCTCTTAGAATGGTTTTAATAATGACAAACTCTCTTTACAATTAACATAAATTTTGTCTAGTTTGCAGTACAGTAATTATTAATTACTTAAATTGAATATTTCTTTAGTTATCAGTCTCTACTGAACAAAAAACATGACTCTCAAAAAAAACGCAACACATGGATTTCCTACTTTACTGCTAAAAATTGGCCCATTGTTTATATGAACTTTTTTGTAGGTATTGAGGTCAGCTATCACTTCTATCAAAATTTTCCTCAACTCATGGAATACCCTTCATAATTAACTTCTCAGCCACTGAAAGACAAACAGCATTATTAATTATTTTCTTATATAGCCACGGCATTGGGATCTTTTTCATATATGTAACGGTTATTAGGAGAGCTGAGATAGGATTTAATCATATGCTATTATTCTATGATCATATCAGAGGAACACAAGACAAAGCCAAAAACATATGACAGGATTGAGGTGAAAAAGTTTCGAGGCTCAAATTAGGCAGTGATACAAAGATAAACTGAGAAAGCGACTGCAAGAATTTAACGCAGATGCAACCCTGAATGATGTCTGGAAGCATATCAAGAACGATATCTTGGGATGAATTCGGGAAGCAATTAAACCAGAATCACGTTTATTGAATGTTGAAACAATTGAATGAAGTTTTTATTCCATTACAAGGCATTGTTAGAATCTGTTAATGCAATGATTACAATTCTTAAAAATACAGATGTGTAAAAACTTTTTTTTCACAATTGTGTAACTGTAATTTATGAATTTGTAAGCTTTTATTAATAATATACGGCGAACTAGTAAAAAAAAAAATTGGTGGGCCTTTGGAAGATAAGATAGTGGAACACTTTTTCAAGACAATCAACTAGCAAAAAAACAGGTTAAATAGTAATTTATATTTTCAAAAGGCCATTAGAAAAGAAAAACGTTATGAGTCTGATTTCAAAATTTTAGATATTTATACTGAACGTACCTAAATTTTAACTTGGTATGACTTGGAAGATCTCGACTGGAGTATTGCTTGGAAATAGCACTAAGATCCTTTTCTCCTCGCCCTTGTCCACCTCTAGCAGGCTCAAATGTTGGCCGAGCAGCTGTTGTCATTTTTTATAATTGTTTCAAAATCGTTATTAAATTAACGTCTTAAAACTCAAACCAACATCTACCTGGCCATGAAAACAAAGACAGTAAATACAAGATAACCTTCCGAAAACAACAAGGAATGGGATGTTGCTATACTATCGATGTCAACATTTACCTTTCGATATTGTCCAATATCGTTTCGCAATGGGATTCAATCAGTATTACCGTAAGAGGATCCTCGTATTTGAAAATAACATATTGTATGAGGTACGAAGATCCAGGGGTGCCCAAAAGGGTGTTTCGGGGTTTAATTACGCAACTCGCGCCATTAAAACTTTTAAGGGGGACACATTTTTACGGCGTTTTGAATTTTTGAGGGGATACATTTCGAAGGGGTTCCGAATTTTTGGAATGAGAAGTTTCCAACAAAAATATATGGGGAAGCATGGAACAGACTTATGATATTGTAATATTATATAATATACGATTTTCTAACTATACTTTTGCTTACACTGTTCTGAAAAAGAGATGAGAAATAAAATATTTTGGGAAATAAGAGGTGCGCCATCAACCTTGGAGGGGGAGGGTGGCACTACTGCGAAGATCCGCCAATTTCGTACCTCGTACAAAAGTTTTGCTAACTTTTGCAAAGTTATGTTTTTATAAATTATATTTTGAGTTATTGTACAATTATTTTAATTTACATTAATATATTTTACTTATCTTTTGTTAATAATAAATTGCAATTATAGGCAAGATCATGGCTCTTAGGAGTTTCTATAGAAAGATTAGAACTATTGGGTAAAGGATTACCCAAAACCTCCAATCCGCCACAGATAAACAGAAAATCTCCATCCTAATTCTTTCTGACTTCTCCAAAGCGTTTGATTCCGTTAATCATGAGGTCCTTCTTTCCAAACTCCAAAGCCTGCCCATATCAAATAGCGTCCTAAAATGGTTCCACTCCTTCTTATCCAATCGATCTCAGACAGTTACAATTCCGAACAAACCTCCATCATCACCCCTTCAATTAACACGAGGTGTTCCTCAGGATTCCTCACTCTCCCCGACCCTTTTCTCTATCTATATTAATGACCTTCCTAACGTCATTCAACACTCCAGTTACCACCTACATGTCGATGATTTCCAAATATACCAATCATTTCAACCTTCTGAGATGCCTGAGTCTGCCCGAAGGCTACAAGTAGATATCAACTGCATCAACAGATGGGAAAAAATAAATGAATTAAAGCTGAATGCAGATAAAACCAAGGCTATTATTATCGGGTCCAGACATCTCATCAGCTCCCTTCCTTACTTTCCTCTACTTAACCTCAATAACCGCCACATCCATTTTTTCCCTACAGTCAAAAACCTCGGAGTAACCTTTGACCAGAACCTCTCCTGGAATAACCATATCTCCCAGATTACCCGAAAATCCATAACTGCCCTTAAACAACTCCTAAGATTCCGTGATTGTATTCCGCTAAAAACCAGACAGCTCCTTGTAACCTCCCTTGTATTCCCCCACTTTGACTACGGCTGTTTGGTGTATGGACCGCTATCTGCCAGGCTAGAAATGAGACTGAAGAGACTCATGAATTGTTTCATAAGATACATTTTCGGGATCCCAAAGCATTCACATGTTTCACTCTGGTACACCGAGTTGAAGTGGCTTTATCCTACTACCCGACGAAAATTCCTTCTTGGTGTTTTCCTTTTCCAAGTCTTCTGAACCAAAAACCCTCCTTACTCTACGCTCCTCTATCCACTCTCTCAATATTAAGTCTCAACCTATAGACTGATATATCCTCTCCCATAAAACTTCCTCCTTCAGCATATCCGTCGTCATTCATGCTGCTTCCTTATAGAAATCACTTCCTACATCCATGCCTCAATCCTCGACCACAAAGTCCTTCAAACAACTTCTGTCCCACCACCTATTTCACATTCAAACTTCCGCTAACAAGTAAAATTACTTGCATCTTTACACTGTTAAATTTCAATCTATTGCACGATTGAAATAACAATTAACAGTAAATTAGTTTGTATTTTTATTATTATGTCAGACTAAGACCCATAAATTTGTAACTGTGTTATTATTCTTAGGGGCAGTAGTCCCAGAATAAAATTATTTTTTCATTTCATTTCGATTCATTGTAAAGACTGGCAACCACACCTCCAAATTTGACTGCACACTGGGGCGGGCCAACGGTGCTGTTGGACATTTTTGAGAAAAAACAAAAGTTAAAATTTGGAAGTTTGACTGCATTAGTGACAAACTTATATCCTTTCCCTTCATGCCCATCAATTTTAACTGGTTTGTAGCATTAATAATGCCCTGATGTAAGGTAAAAGGAGGAGTGAAAACCATCTTTTTACTTTCACTTACCAATACATGTAATATATAGTAAGGGAAAGTATTGCGATCATAAAAATTTACGAATCTGAGTTTTAAACGGAAATACACGTTTTGAAGTCCCCTGAGTCCAAATAACCAAGTTACACAAAATGGTCTGTGGGTATGTGAACAGTCTAGCTCAAAAACGAAAAGTCGTACGAAACTGATATTAAGTATTTAAGATTGGTATATATCTGAGATGAAACCGCAACTTTTTTCCATAAAATCGACTTGCCGAAAGTGCCTCTTTATATCAATAAGGTCATACACATTTTTACAATTTTCTCAAAATCGGCTTTAACGATTTTTATTAAACTCGGTGTATCATTGTATAATTAACTGGTCTTTAATATCATATGGGTCTTTACAGGGCTTAAATGCCCAATGTTGAACATGTCTTCCTCTAAAGTACTTTTAATTTGGTTTATTTTCAATAATTATTTATCCCTCATCGTTAGGAGTTACGAAAAAATGCCAAATATAACTTTTGCAAGAATTTGATGATTGAAAAATGGAGAAAAAAAGAAAAATGTTTATTTAGGTCGAAAATGAAGCTCTGGAAATACTAGACAGAAGGTATACATATAATATATCGTTGGAAAGCGGCGAATTTTAGGGGGAAAAAACAATATCTAATATCTAGAAGGTGATGCAAGTCGTAGAAGGTGATGGAGAGTGACAAAAAATTATAAATAATAATTTTAGAAAACTAATATTCTTTAACGGAAATCACATATTTTCAAGGAAGTCGAATGAAATTTACTAACTAAATGTAAACTTTGAAAATATTTTTTAAGTTTGAAAAAAAGGATTTAAAATCCATCTAATCAAGGCAATGACATTGTTTAAAAACTATTTCATTGTACTTGTGTAAAAGAAGGAGTGAAATATAAAAACATTTCATGGATGTATAAAGCATATGTTTATAATCATAAATACATTTACTGTAGTTTAATAATTCTAGATCTGATGTTATATTTAAATAATTAGGTATCAACGCCCGTTTATTCAGAAAAAATTGTTATGTAATCCTTTAGAAAATTAAATTAGCGAATTATTTGACGAATTTTCCCTTTGTGTATTTTTAACATTATCCACTTAAAATTGGTGTGACAACTTTTGATCTATCTATGGCAGTCAATGAAAACCTCGTAATTTCATTTTAGTAAACTTTACAATGGAAAATAACAGCTTAATAACTAATAGGCGCACTGTCCATAATCATTTATAGGTTGAATACACAAGCGGATCTATCCGGGGGCGCGCTCCCCCTTCCCCCCCTCAGGAGGCTGGGAAACATAAAAAGAAAGTTCCAAAAAACAGCTATTAAAAGAAAAGAGAAATAGACGGATAATTCATCCTCAAAGACGATGAATTTCTTAATATAATATAAAAAAAATTATTATCGTGACCAGCACTAGCGAATTCTGCCATGGGGCATGTACTCCCTTAATTGATGGAAAAAAAATCCGAAAGAGTGACACAAAATAATTGTAAATAATTAATTCTATGTATGGCCACACAGGCATTTATTCTGTATCTGTAATTTGTTCTAAAGGGACAACAGTCCCAGGATAATAAAAAAATATTTTCTTCCATTTCAAAGATACCTATTTAAAGAAAAGAGAAATGTAGAGAAAATTCATCTTCATACAAGAATTTCCAAATGTAATATAAAAAAATATATTATCATGACCAGCACTAGCGAATTCTGCCAGGGGGCGCGATCTCCCTTAGATGGTGGAAAAAATATCGAAAAAAGTGACAAAAAAAACCTATTTGAAGAAAAGAGAAATGCATAAAACATTCATCCTCATAGACAAATTTTCTAATGATATAAAAAAAATATTATCGTGACCAGCATTAGCGAATTCTGCCAGGGCGCGCGTTCTTCCTTGGATAGTGGAAAAAATATCGAAAAAAAATGACAAGAAACACTTATTTAAAGATAAGATATATGCAGGAAAAATTTATCCTCACACGAATTTCAAAATTTAATACAAAAAAAATTACTATCGTGACCAGCATTAACGAATTCTGCCAGGGGGCGCGCCCTCCCTTGGATATTAAAAAAAAATCCGAAAAAAACACCTATCTAACAAAAACTGAAATATAGGGAAAATTCATTCTCATACACGAATTTCTTATAGAAAAAAAAAAATTGTTAACGTGACCAGCAACAGCGAAATCTGCTGGGTGGCGCACCCTCCCTTGGATGATAAAAAAAAATTCAAATAACACCTATTTAAAGAAAAGAGAAATATAGGAAACATTCATAATTATAGACGAATTTTCTAGTGTAATATAAAAAAAAAAAGTTATCGTGAATAGTACTAGTGATTTCTTCTATAGGGAGCATCCCGCTCTGGACGTTAGAAAAATAATTCCGAAAAAAAAAAAGATCCAGAAAAACATCTATTTAAAGAAAAGAGTGATGTAGTTTTGGGCGTCGTGAGATGCAATTTTTCTCGCATAGCTCCTTTCGCATTTTATTCCTATCGGCTCCGAGCTGAGTCCCGTAGGTGAAATACATGATGGAGGAAAACATATTAAAAAAAAAAAAAACACTTCATTTATTCTTTCAAACCACCTTTTATACGAGCACAAGAAAATAAGGGTTTTCTTCCGGGCCCAGTTTTTACTCAGTATCAATAGATCTAAACGCATTGCAACCTTCATCGACTATAATCTCCTTGAAGAATCCATGTGAATCATAAAACTGGTCACGACAATAATTTGTATATTTCTGATTAGTATGTGTTGTTCTTTTAATAAAATAGCTGATGTGAACGTTTTCATGAAGGAATGTAATTATTATTTGGTAGTCGATTTGATCGGAATCTGATTATGATCGGAATTGGAATTTTTTTGTCTTAGAGAACTCATTTCCAAGCTGCAGGACCATTTACAGTAATCTTTCTCAGATTTTGACAATATCGGTAAAAATTAGCGTTTATTGACCATGGTTATCGACCATATTACTTAAATCAAATTGTTACGTTTAGGTACTCGTTAAACTCACAATTTGACGTTTTTTAATTTCTTAAAGAATATGTTTTGCGCTTTGATGCATTGTTTAGTAATAATACATGGAAAAAAGAGCAGATAGATATGGAATTTTATGGCTGTAAAAAGTTTTCTCTTGGTGACCCGTGTTATCAATTTAGTTTCTTACATGTCTAAACCCATATAGAAGGATGTCTCGAGGG